ATTCGCTTTGATCTGTTTGAAATCAGCGTCGAAATTGGCATTTTTGCGATTAAACTATCTTTTTTTCCCTTTTGATTTCCATTTGGAATTTGGTTCGGTTTTCTGTGCCCTTTTCTTCACTCTTTTCTCCACTTGGAATAAATTACATGCAAAGAGCGCGCGAGAGAATTGCGAATTCGTTCAAATGAAACGGGCAAAAGTGAATGAAGTTCGATGAAACAAAAAAGTGCTTTTGCATCCCATTTGCTCTTTCTCTAATGACAATTTGCTCGTTTGGCAAAATTTTCATAATTGCATTAGAATGAATGCCGCAGTCAAGGGCTCAAGGAAAAAAAAAGAAAAAAGCGGCAGCGATAACGACCAAAGAAATGTAAAAGACTGACATTCATTCTTCTATACCTGGCCCATATATTTTTCGCCATTCAATGACTGTGCGTAAAGATGTTAAAATAAAGATTATTCAGCGCCTTCAATTCTTCTGCATCTTTGTGTGGCGTCGTTGGCGCAAGAATCAAAAGTGATTTTCAACGGAATATGAAAGCGGCTTTTCAATTCATATTCATTTCAGATGACTCTACAAATCTCTCTCCTACTCCCATTTTTCCGTCGTTGCTTTCGTTATTATGGATTTCTCAAGCACACATATCCAAGCATTTTCATGAGCAATTTCACATTTTATTCTGTAAAAAAGGAAACGAGAGAGAACCATCAACCAAATCAGAGAAGAAGAAAAAAAAACCTTGAAACCGCACACATGAAAATGCGCTTCGTCACGATACTTTATGATGATTGTGCGATAATATTCACACACACACACACTCCTCGTGGCCCCTCGCATTAAATGAGTTGCGTTAAAAAGTGAAAATTGTTCCATCTTATCGAATGTATATATGTGCTATGCTTGGAGCCGCTCTCGCTCTCTTTCACACTTTCGCGCGATTTTTATGGATTCGTTGGGTTTATGATAAAATCACACACTTGATAAGTTCGAGGCGGCTGCGAGCAATAACTTTAATTTTATGGAACACTTGTGCAATCGTGACATGAAAAATGTGAACGCGTTCGCGAATGCACGACACCAGCTGAATGAGAATGGGAGAAAGAGTGAGTGTGTGATCAACATGATGTTACAAGTGAACATTGAACACATATTAATTGCGATTCATTCAGCGGGAAAATGGTTAACCTTTTTGTTTACTGATGTATGTTCACATTGAAAACGGCACAACGGATGAGCTAGATGAAAAACAGCACCCACGACACGACACCTTTACATTGAGGCGAGATGTGAAGCGGGCGCTCACTCACCAGATTATCAAGCACTCCATGATCCATAACTCATGGAGACTCTTTTTTTTCTGCCGTGCATGTCGGCCGCGAACTCGACATCGCCGGCTTATGGTGCACAATTTATTGCAATTATCAATGGACTTCTCAATGCATGTTTCTGAAATCGAGCACACTCTTCGCTCGTGTAATGACACAGATATAATTATTTGCATACGATGTACGTCCATACATAGTAGTTGGATGGTTTTTTTTCTCTCTCTCTCTCTCTCTCTGGTTTCCTTCCATTTTCCCGGCCATTATTTATCATTATATCGGTTATTTGCCTTTGGAAATCATTATCATGTAGCGTAATCGTGTTTATTTACGACATGATATCAACATAATACAAAGTCGGTTTTTCCCATTTTGTACTATCTCTCTTTCGATGGCTTCGACCGTTCGATCGAGATTTAATTAAATTACGTTGACATGTTTTTTTGATAAGCATTGAACACACAATGAACACATATCCCCGATCCGATGGACAGATGCCGCATTGCATTTTTTGTTGTTTTTGCTGCTGCTGCTACTGCTGTCGTTGTTGGTGTATAAGTGCAATCGGCTGTCAAACGAACCTGGATTTTCTCTCTCTATTGATGGAATAATCATCGCTGATGCAACTATTACAGACTCCATCGATATATATATTGCAAACTAATGTCAAATCTCCATATTTCCACCGCTTGCTCCCTCGCTCTGCACCGCATTCAGCAATCCTTGCATCGTATTCAATATTCATCCACTGCAGATGTGCCTCGCTAGAAGGCAAGCATGGATCGAGAGAGACCGAATCAAAAAAGGGAGACACTGAAGAGCAGCATCATTGCACAGTATGAGAATACAATTCTGAAGTGCATGTTATGCTACCAGTGCAATCCTTGTGCAATTCATCCCATGTACTCGTTGCCCTCTCTCCCGCTCTCTCGACGCAATATGTGCCACAATACTTTTTCTACCTCAGTTTTTTTTTTGTTCTCTCTGTGTATCGACAGTTATTAGGTCAATTTTAGTAATAAAACCATCGAACCATGTAAATAATATCTCTTTCTCTCCTACCTGAAATGCCAAACCAATCACCGGTTCGCAATCTCTTTCCATTTTTTTTTTTCTTCAAATTTGAACAAAACGCTCGAGTGGCGTATTGACAAAGAGAGTAGAAAAAAAATGTCAAAACGAGACGAATCCATTCAACAAATATTCTTTTTAATTAAATGGACTGCAATAGAGTTATACAGTCATCGTCAAATATGATATTGACATTTTACGAATATTTGCTACCATGGAATAAAAATACCGTAATCGAAATCCGTTTGATATCTGTTTTATTTGAATACTTTCATGCAGAAGAAGATGAACCGGAAAAAAAAAACCAGACTCAATTTAATTGGATTTTGCATTTTTTTTTCGGTTCGTCACGTCTCTCGCCATGTCAGCTTAACAATGAAATTAGTGCGATTTTCTAACGGAGTGGCTTGGTAATAAAAATTTCAACAACACACATCAGCCCATTTCAATATTTCAATTCCGCACGGAATTCAAGTGCGGAAAATGCGTTCCAATTTTTATGAATACGGAATGAGTTGAGCCGTGCGTTCCTTTCTTTTGTGTTTGCAGAAAGTATTTTTTTGTTTGGGCTGGAAAGGAAATCGGGACGGAGAGAAAAATCAGCTTAACATCATTATGATTTCACCTTTGTAAACGGCAATTCATTATTATGCGCACAGAATAACATATCAAATGGCTTTATAGTGATCGGTTTCAGTGTAATCCTAATGTATGTACTTATAACTTAGCCTTATTATTCAAATCGCCCAATATCCGCACCGCTCAGCAACAATGTTTTCTTCTTCGACAACGTGTTTTCTTTTCTCTCTCCCATTTCAAAAGCCGCGCACATTGTTGCGGAGTGAATGCAATGTATTGCCGTCACACAAAGAAATATTTAATCATTTTGTATCGTGGTCGGTGCCAACCCTCGAGATTATTTTGTATATGTTTTTTTTTCTCGCTCACTCTTCCTAAAAGTCGACCCTCATCATGTACGGAGGTTCGTTGTTGTTTTGGTTGTTGTTTTTTTTTTCTTCTGTCGGTGGTGTTTTAATGCGTATTCGCGGAAAAAAAGGGACAATGACGATGAACGCACCAAAATGTAACATATCCACTCCTATAATTGCAGCTAATTCTAATACGACATAAACATTTGCGTCTCGCCATCCACACACACACACACACGTACATCATGTGTACAGCACTTTAGCATCAGTGTTGTTTTTTGCGGCGGTGTATGGATTCAATGCCGTTAGATATGAATGTTTTTTGTTTGTTCTGTCCCTAATTTTAAATGCTAGCTGTTTGTGATACGGTAGACATGGGTCATTTCAAAATAATGAATATCCATTAATACGTAATGTATCCGCCGTATGTTTGCATTTGGTCGTGTTTTTGTTGTTGTTGTTGTTGTTTTTTATTCTTCTGTTGGTTTTAAATTTTTAATAAATTGCATAAAAATGCTACACCGGAGCAGCAGAACATTTGTTCAGAAACATCGGTACCATTCAGGCTTCAGGTTATGAAATGTGAGCTAGAAATCATTTTGGTTAGTAGCTGTCAAACCTCATCATCCACAGAAGATGGAGAGAGGGTAAGAAAAAAAGTCTCGGTCAGGTTGGCGACCACTACTCGAAAACATTATGATTTTGAACAGTCTGTGTTCAATCAAATGACTTAATATGGTAATCCTACATCAGAGTTAATGCATACGCATCAAAAAAAAATATAATCCAAGAGAACCAGAGAGAAAAAAATATTTTTTTACCCCGAAAAAAATGAACCAAAATGAAAATAGAAATTGCGATTTGATGGTGATTCAGTTGATTGTTCTGACATCGAAATGTTTGTAATAAAAATATTTAATTATTGAAATGACAAAAGCACGCGTGTGCTCGGCTGAATGATGGGATATTTTCATGCACACAGACACACATGTGCGTGCATCGATAGGCGCAAAATCTCTTTTTCTATCTCTCGTAGAAATAAAATAATAATAAAATGTTTCGAGCATTTCATTCAATCTCTCTGTGTGTGTCATTCCAAGAATTCGGTTCAGAGTTGGACTTTTTTTTAACCATTTGGCAAAAATAAAAGCGGAAAATTCCATTCACGTGGCGCTCACTTTTTTGCGCTCCCTCACATTCGTTCACTTCCCATTTGGATTTTGGTTGCATTTATTTATATGTTCTTTTTGTTCGCTCTCCGCTTGGTTTGCGATGCTGTTTTTTTTCCACGGTTGTCCTCTCTGTAGTCCGTCAGTGTGAAACCGTTGTCATGAACTGTGTGGTGGTTTTTGGTTTCTATGACAGCACAAATAAAATTATATGCACACAGCAATCGCTTTTTGGTGGCCTTTGACGCGAAAAACATGAGAGAACGCAAAGAATGACATGAAAACAATTAGCATTCAGGACTGAGTTACGTATGTGTGCATTTTTTTTTTAATTTTCAAATAAACTGCAACGTCATGTAATTTTCGTACAAAAGCACACGGTTTTGGGCGCGTTTTTGTGTTTTCAGGCGACTTTATTAATTGATTCTGGTTTTATTTTCAAAGTATTTGCTGAATAATTTCCGTTTGACCAATCGTAATCCGAGGTTCGTTTTTTTTTTTCATTTGCAGGAGTTGTATAATTGGACCGCAACTAGAAGTTAAGGTATGCACACTTGGAACTGTGATAAATCGAACTGCATATCCATCGGACTATTGCCAATTGGAAGGCACTGGTCGCCAGTCACAACCAATGCCAATTCGATGGATGTCTTGGGAAAGCGTCTTACTGGTAAGTGCAAATGTAAATTCTCATTTCGTCTCAATCGTCGTCTCATTGCCGTCAATTTTGCTTTCTTTTCATGAGACAGCATTTCGAAATCGCAATTCTCGATATTAGTTGACGTTGTTAGTTTTATGAAAATTCGCAAGTTATTCAAATGATTTTGGAATCTTTCCACCAGCGAAATTTCCATGAAATTAATGAATACTGTCTAGACGTCTGTCTTCGTCGTCGTCATCGTATCTACAGCAAATGGAAAATATTGACGTCTTTTGTTCCAACACAAAAGCCAATTGATAACAATCTTAATTCCCTTTTAAATTACAACTAGCCGACTTTAGTCAAGTGTAAATGAGTTGTTTTCGTGCGCAATGAGACGATGCACATTTCCTGATATAGGAAATCCATTGGCCGCCATACAAACACACACAATTTCAATCTGGCTTTTGTTTTCATTTTCAGGGTAAATTCAGTACGAAATCAGATGTTTGGTCATTTGCCATAACACTTTGGGAGATTTTGACATTTGCACGCGAACAACCGTTCGAACATCTCAGCGATGAAAAAGTCGTCGAGAACTTTGGTCATATCTACAAAGACGACAAGAAACATGTAAGTAACATTTCGTATCATTATTTTTATTTTACGTTTTTGTCAGATGACGTTAGAGAAAAAACGACGACTTTGTCTCGATTATTCTAAATATTTACTTTCAATTTAAAATCCCCATTGTGTGGTATTCCGTCGATCAAAATGAACGAGTTTTGTAATTAAATTTCTCTCAGGTCATATTCATGCTTCATTTCTGGAATTTTTTTTTTGTTCTTTCAAAAAAAAATACTTTTGTATAAACGCAAAACGAGCAATGCACAGACGCAAATATGATAGAGAGCAATAATCTCAATGCTTTCGTAATTTTCTTCATTGTTTTCATTTCATTTTCGGGTTTGCTGTTGTTATCGACCCACACACACAGAGAGAGAGAGGTAGATGATTCAGCTTGTTTTGGGCGAACACACACAAATTGGTTGAAACTAACGAAAAATGCCTGCAACCTTTTCATTTTATCACAACTTTGTCAGCACATTGTGGTGCATTCAAAGGAGCATCTCAATTACTAAAGCAATTTTTCGGAAGGGTTTCAACTAAAATCCAGAGCGACTTATCGTTTTGGTTTTTATTTTTCATTTTGCCTGACATTTTCAGTGGAATTACTTCATGCGTACAATGAAATCGTGAGCTCACCTGGAATTTCCCTATTTTGATGTGGTTTTTTATCAGAAAAGATTGAGCATATTTCCTTTTGCTTCACGCATTTTTGCCGGAGAGAGAAAGAGAAGAATTTTATATAAGGATATCTTCCCTAGCTAAGTTTTCCTTTTGCCAATATATTAAAACAATATCATGAACAAAAACGCCCCGGCAACTTTGCCAGCATCAGCAGCATGGCAGCACAGCACTCACATCACACACAAATACCAAAAAGCTTTAGAATTTCAAAACTAAATTTTGTACAAAAGCGAAAATAATTTCGCCGCAGTTTGTGATGCTTTGAAAGTCAACGGAAAAGTTTTCATTTTAATCACTTTCATTAAATAATTTCCCCTCGAAAAAGAAAACATTTGTTTGAAATGGTGGCGCATTGAAAAACGTTTGCTTCTGCTCTTGTTAGCATTGAATATCCCTATCGTTTTGTGTGGATGAAAGAAGCCCTCATCTTATTGTTTGATTTCTTTTTGTGTGCGTGTGCTAAACGCCCGAAAAATAATGCGTCGTTATGAATTTGCTCGACCGCAGTATTAATAAGCGCCTCTCAAAGACTTCGGTCAACGAGAGCAGATTATACTTCAAAAAGCTTCCTTTCGCTCTCTCTCTCTCTCTCTCTCTCTCTGTGTGTGTTTCTGTCTTTCGGTGAGAATGGAAGCAAAAAGATAACCATCTCCTTTGACATGGAATAATAACTGGCCCTTGATTTTTGTGCTCTGTTGTTATGTTCAAATTGAAATGAGCTCAACACACCGGAATCCAGTATGCGGTGCACACAAAAATTATGCCAAAGTACTTGGCGAACAACTTTTCATTTTCAAATTAAATTTTGACTCAACTGATAACATCTTCAAAGGGAATTTTATTAACAAAGTGTAAATAGTCAGAACAAACGAAGATTATCTAACGACTGTGATAAAGTAAAGCACTGAATGCGACCCAATTCTCCCGATTTTTCAACAACAGCAAGGCAAAAATCAATTTACCTCTCGAAAGCAATAGAAAGTTCTTCGCATTCACTCACTTTGTGACACAAGCGCTCTCGGTTGTTGTTACCTTTTCACTCTCTTACCCGTCTCTTTGACTCTACACTTTTAATTTGTTAACCCGTTTATGATTTTTACGAATCTACAACTAAAATTCATCAAGTCAAATGCATTTTTATTTATGGTTTGTGTTTTTTTTCTTCTTTTCTTTTTGTCCTCTTTCATCATCATTTTTTTTCTCGATCCGAAAAATAACTGTGACGGTTCGTTAAAAAAAAAAAAAACTAAAACTATAGGTTCTACCACCGATGCCGCCGAATTGTCCACGTGAAATCTACGATTTGATGTGCGAATGCTGGCAACGTAATGAAAGTGATCGGCCGAAATTCCGTGAAATTCACTTGTTTTTACAACGAAAGAATCTGGGTTACAAGCCAGCCAACATGCTACTGTACTAAGAAGCACAAATTGACAATGGTCAACCGGATCAACTTATAGCTGACACACAATTTCATGTTTTCTTTTTCTTTTTTAAATAGTAAATAGGGGAACACAGAACAAATATCATCGTTTACTTATCGTATCAATTTAATTAATACCTTACACAAAATAATGATAATTTCTCTTTTCTTTTTTGTCTTTTGTGTTAAGTAATTTTTTTGACTTGTAAGCGTAACTATGGAATTTAGAGGAAGTGAAGAAGAAAAAATAGTATTATATATCGTTATGACAAAAATCACTTGCGACACATGTCATTTTTTTCATGAATTTTCATATTGGGAGCTAAATAAGGGATAGAAAAAGTATAAACATTAAACACAACTTAAGCACACATCATTCACCAAACCACACCGTTTTTTCCCCCAATTTTTTCCCGCGTCACATGTAAATTACCAGTATAAAGAGAATGTGTGTAAGAATTATTGATTGAAAAGAAGAAATCAGAAACAAATCAATTGAAAGTAACAAACAGACAGACAGGAAAAAATAGCGACCGAACAAGGAAGGCGCAAACAAAAAATTGTATATGTATAATAAATCACATGGATTTCATTTCATGAAAACAAGGTCTCGCGATTGCGATAATCACTAAATATTAAGCAAAACATAAACAAAAGGAGACGATTGGCCTGATCACCACTTGAGTGTGATTCAGTCCAGTGGTCGTCTCACACAGCTTTTGTAACCTATGGTAATTGTGAGTAAGTCATCGTTACGATAAGTCTTTTTTTTATTTTAATGCAAATTCATAAGGAAACAAATGAAAACGAAAAAAACACTCCACCACTACCATTACCACCACAGAAACAAAACCAAGCAAACGTTGCTCTATCGCAATAGCACTGGTTTAGAGTAAAATCTCTCTCTCATAAAAACTGCCCATTTTCCAGTACGAACACATTTTTTTGTTGTTGTTGTATAAAATGCAAAACTTTCGAGTAAAAACCAATTCCATCATCGTGTATTATAGTGAATTTTAGATATTAAATGTTTAAGTAACACACACTGGCTAATTAGTTGGAAATATGGTTCAATAAATTAAATAAAATATTTGCTACAAAACTGCCCTTCCCGAAATTAGCATGCTACAAAATGCATGTCACCAGCACTCCCACGGTATGCAAATGTGTGTATTTAATGCATTTAATAACGAATGAAGAGAAGATCAAGAAGAAAAACTTATTTGAAATGTGTATTAAAAGCAACAAAGAAATGACATCTGTTTTGATTCACCGACTGCAATCATGTAAACTTAGTGCACGCGGTACAACAATTGATATATATCAATAATTAATATTTAAAAAGAAGGAAGAAAAAAGAGAATGCTGTCTATTTTTCATAAATGTCACAATATTTTAGGCAAGAACTTATTGAACACAAATTATAACTATCGTTTTCATTGCAAGCTAAATGAAGAGGAAGAGCGAGTGAGTGAGAGAGAGAGAGAGAGAGAGAGAGTATTATAACTGTAGAATTTAACCCGGAATTATTAATGTTGACTTGATTGTTTGAATAATGACTGCAACTAAACAATATTACAACGCACCCACATGCGCGCACACAAACACACTCACACACACACACACACACACACCATAAATGTGGCGGCGTTTAGCTAAAACGAAAACACGATGCATGCATGTGCTTAATCATTAAATAAACACGTAATTAAAATAGATTTATCAATAGAATTTACGACATTTGAAATACCACCCATAAATGGCATTTATTATCAACTGTGGATTTTCCGTCAATAGGCAAACCAATGGTTCACCGAACCATCTCTCTCTCTATTTTATTCGATTAGCTTCTGTTTATTTTCTGGCGAACGCGTGTGGTGAGCGAAAATACTCGGAGAAAACACGGATTCAAATCGACCGTGAATTGAAACAAAATATGCAAAATAGATCAATTACATTCACTGCCCCGGTGACGAATAATATCCAAACTAAAATAGACACAAAGTACCGACGTATCCAATTAGTTGAGAATATATGTCAAAGCTCGAATTTGTTTTTTCAATTCGTTTATACTCGATGTCAAATTGAATGCAACGAGGTCAGCAAAAGTTTGGCCACGTTGAGCGGAAAAAAAACTCACAAAAAAAAACTCATCACATTGAAGAGCTAAAATTACTTTCTCTGTCGAATATGGTAGTTTTACACAGAGTCTTTCAAACGAGCGCCATAATTATTTTGAACTTTCAACCATATTTGTTTCCCTTTCACGTGCAGCTGTTCCAATTTCATTGCGAAAATATTTAAACATTCATTTAAACTTTCTATGTTAGCATTTAAATAACTCGAGGTCGATATCCATGTTTCCTTCGTGTCTTTTTGACAACATTTTTTTTCTCTATCTGTTCGTTCAAGCATTCTCGTGCTCAAAACTTGTGTATTTCTTTCCACCTTACAAAATATAGAACAAGCTGATTATTACTGTAGATAAAACAAAAGTATTTGAGAAAGAAGAAATTTTTTTAAATAAGACAGCGAAATTATAACTTTAACTAGTTGTACATTGAATTTGCGTGTAGATTTATGTTGAAATAAAGAAAAAATTCAAGAAAAAAACACAATTTTCCCCGCATCGAAACATGGAACGAAATAGAATGCAGCTGTGCTAAACAGCGCGCAAACTGAACAAGAACATTGGAGCTACGGATGAATATGTTCGGAGTTTAGAATGAGTTAAGAGATGAAATGCGTAGACATTAGACACTTAGGTACATTTAAAACAAAACACATACAATTTAACACGAATTAATTAGATGTTAAGTAAATTCTTTAGAAGAAATGTATAGAACTTTTTTTTCTCTGCGGTTTGGTTTTTCCTTTTTTTTGAGGCATTTTTTTTTTTAGTTAAGCGTAATACAAGTTTTTTTTCTGACATTTATTTATACGTTAAGGAAACCGGTCAATATATATTTAGCACATAATCATTTTTGAAGAGAAAAAGTAACTACAACACACACACACACACACAAAAACAAAAAATCGCCTATCCTGTCTCCTTTCTCATTTTAAACACACAATTTATTCAAAATGTTCAATAAAAATTTCAATTTCACTAAACATCATTCTGTTTTATTGGTAGCCATTTTGCCTTGCTTTTTAGTTTGCTTCCTTTTTTTTATTCCTGGAAAATTCTTTCTTAACTCTCGATTTGGACTACAAACACAATTCAACGATTTTATTTTTCTTATTTTCCTTTAGCAACATTCTTACGATTTTATTTAGTTTTGTTTTCTCTTTCGGAAAATTTGTACCTTTCTCTTGCCTTTTCAATTCTTGAACACCTTCTCCTCTCCTGTACTGTAAATACTTAAAAAAATTACTGCCTGTTAAATTTATTAGGCTAAAATGGAAAATGGGTAACGTTGAAACGCCAAAACGGTAAATGATTGAATTTTTGACAATAAAATCTCTGAATTACTTTTTACTTGATTCCTAAACACAAACCATACAACAATTTGAGTAAAGTTTTTCAAATGAAATAAGCATATAAAAGCACAGACACACAATGTTACGGTTGTAAATAAAGTAGTGAGAAACAAAGAAATTGTTTCAATTTTGTTGTTGTTTGCACGCTACAAGCGACACCCGACAAGGTAATGAATGACAAAATAAACTCAAGCAGTTTTATGTTGATGAAGAAGCCAGATGAATAGAAAGAAGAAAGAACAGGCAATGCTGACCGAAAGAAAACAATTTATGTTAATTTTACACAAATTGATAGCCAATCATTCAGAATGACCACTCAGAATGCTTAAGTAAAGAACAATTGTGTACAGAATGAAAAACCGTAGTAATAATAATAATGAAAGCAAAGCAAAGAGACAAAATGAAATAGTGTAGTGGAAAGTCGTCGATTTGCATTCGAAAGTTGAACACCGAGATCAACGATAGATGAATACACCGACAGCAACGGCAACCGTGAGGAACGAAACAAAAAAAAAGTCGGCTGAGAGATAGAGTCAACATTGATGGCAGCTTTAGATCAAAGCAACAAAGTGACAGAGAAATAAATTGGTATGAAAAAGAATACGTAATGACTGGCGTCGACCAAGAAGAGAGCGCGAGAGTAAAAAAAGCATACACAAACTGCCAAGAGAATAAAAATAAAGTTAAAATAGAGAAAAAAAAAACACAGAAAAACAGGGAATAAAAAAAAGAGAAATGCAAACAGAATGCTTGAAACTCAGTGAATGCAAAATAGTAATCTCAATTTGCTGGTGAATGAACGAACGAACGAAAAAAAATCACGAGTAGAATTAGAGTGAGAATGAGTGAGAGATAGAGAGATAGAGAGAGAGTCGCCATCACTCCACACACACACAATGAAATGGACGAATGACAATTGAGCACAAATACACACACACAAATCAGCTAGAAATTATCATCACGGCTTTGAATACACAGAACAAAACAGAAGAAAAAAATGACAACATTGCGTAATATAATTCAATAGTACACACTCATACTATACAATAGCCGAGACGAGCTAAAATCCTGCACTTTGTAGACAGAAAGCAAATAAAAATTTATCGATTATCGAGAATTGTGCTGCAAATAGCGAAATGAATGATAACAGAGAAGTGAGTGAAAAATAGACGACAATGAAAGAAACAGAAGAAAAACCGACGAAGAAATAAATGCAAAACTTACACAAACAAGAAAAATCACTGCCGAGACACACGAGCTCAACAATAAAAGAGAAAATGAAAACGTTATTCTCCTCCGTTTTGTCTCTCACTCGTTTTTTTTTTTCATTCAATCCAATCCTTCGAGGTGTGTTTTCTTTCATTCCAATTGCCAACTCACTCTCTCTTTCTCTCGGTCGGTGTTCGGTGTGTTTCAATCATTGATTCATCCCGTGCGTCGTTTTATACAAATAAATATTGCAGCTAGAAGATATTTTATCATTTGAACTTAGCGATAGAGAGGGAGAAAATGAACGATCGACGGAGAGAGAGAGAGAAATGTGCAGAACCGCAAGAAAATTTATAGTCATGTGAAAAGTAGAAATCGAAATCGACGATTGAGAGAAGAAGAAGAAGAAGAAAAAGAAGAAGAAGAAGAAGAAGAAGAAGGAAGCAAGAAATTGATGGAAATTGAAAGCCAAGCAACGTAAAAAGAAGAAGAAGAAAAGGAGAATGAGAAGAAGGAAGAAGAAGAAGCAGAAATTGTAGTAATGGAAAGGAATTACATTGAGCTCATCTACTGTGTTTGTTGTTGTTACAATTGCTGTCGTTATAAATCTGGGATTTTATAATAAGTTTTCTGCGCGCGCGTTCTCTCTTTTTCATTTTGCTTTGATAGTTCGTAAATATAACACATACACTCTTACACAAAAACACGCTTCCATATCTCCCGTTTACACAAACGCTTGACAACCCCATGCCAAAAGCGAGAAAAAAACCGACGAAACACAAAAAAAAGCGGATCGAAACATCCACCACAGTAGCATAAATATCGAAATATATTGCATCAAATATTGGCCAATATTACAATTTTCTCTTGTGAAATTTGTTTTGAAGACATTTCGATTCCGTTTTCCGTCGTGACCACAAACAATACCGTGCTTGTCGTTGTCGTCGCCATCGTCGTGTATGCACCGATCTAGCGCTGTGCATGTATTCGACTGACACATCTTTTCGCGTATTGTTTGTATTTCGTGTGCGAAAGCCCATTTGTTTTGTTCGGTATTTATTGCATGTGAAGGCATTTCAGTGTGAAGAACATGTGCAAAAACATATTGAAATGGCTTGTTTGCTGCTGCTGCTCTTCGACATGTCGTTATTTTTTTCGTTCGTTATTTCACTTTTTTCTTAGCTCCTCCACACACACACACACACCACTCGTTGACTGGCCCCACTCCCATATTCCAAAGTGCGGTGCATTTTTCTATTCAATTTAATAAAAATTTATATTTATATTTATATTTTGGTGTGTGTCGGGCACAAGGTACACAGAGTATAAAACTAGAGAAAAATGTCGAATTGCGGTAATCTGGATGCCTGAATGGCAACAGCTGAAATGTAAATTTTATAGCAACCAATAACATACATACATAAAAAGCCAAGTCAACAAATACAACTCAAAGTATTCCAAGTCATCGAATTGCATTCGGAACAAAACAACAGCAACCACCACCAGAAAAAAGAGAGAAAGGAAAGAGGAAAAACCTCCGAATGGATCTATCGATGTGTATTTGTATATTTTATTACGGTGAGAAAAGGAGAATCATACGGAAAATAAAGGCGAGATGGGTGGAAACAGGGCGATATATCTCTATTTCTAGAATGTGTGCGGTATGGATTTTCGCATACACACAGTTTGCGCCAAGAGACACATTCTGCACAAACCCGAATGCCGAATGCACGTAAGCTGAGTAAGTAACTTTTGTGTACCGGTGTGCGATTCTTCTTTCCTCTTTCGTTGTGTTTTTTCCCCTATTCGGAATGCTGAGGATGACGCTGATTTTCAATAGGATCAACAGAAATTTATCACAAAAAAACCACAATATCTCGCCAAGTTGTACTGTTTGGCAACGAGTAGCATCAGCGGCAGCAGAAGCAAGCAACAATAGCATAAATCGAAAGGAGATTTTTCCGTCTGTAAGCAGTACCCAACTAATAATCTTTCGCTTAATGTCCATACAAAGGTACCAAATTGATAATCGTCTCAAAGCGACAAGCAACACTTGCAACACAATACATCCAAATGCGGGGTAAGGAGATCAGGATGATTGTTTGTTGGGATACAAACACTTTTGTTACATTTAAAACCGCATCGATTCCAGAACATATTCGGACGCATGAATGCCTTCGCTCTTTTTTCAATATTGCCCACCGTATATACTCCATTCAAAAATGTATAAATCGTCAAAAGCCTTTGATTTTGTATTCAATTTGACTGTTGTTATGGCCATCGTGGCATAATATTTCTGAAGCAAGAAATTGAAAAACAATTTTCCTCTGTCTCACTCATTCAAAACTAACGGTATCGCATTGAACATTGGGCAACATTCCAATATACTTGACTGAACTATTTTGAGTGGATTCCTCACAGCTCAGGATGTACGAACAATAGGAAGCGATCAAATGAAACCGACAGATGTTTGCTGCAAACAGTTTGCACTGGCAAAATTGCGTTGTGGCAACAGAAAAAAAAAACAGACCGAAGCGGGTTTCATCTTTTAAAAAGAGGCCATTGAACGGCGGTAGTTGAGTATTTGCCTCGGCGGTTGCTGTGGAGATTCACTTTCTTGCAACGAACAAAGAATGAAATTCTTGGCAAAAAAATGGATATTACCAACGATGAACTCACGCTATCCATAGAGACATTTCATTTAATATTCGCACTTTTTTCTTGCTGTACGCAAGATCGCAAAATGAGTTCATTTTCAACTTTTCAGCGATTTTTTTCTTCGTACAGAAATACTTCAACGAATTTCATTAGGCAACATAAAAGAAGTGACACTCCGTCGCGGAAGGAAGTGTCACATCAAACGAAACACACAATGTTCGTTACGCACGTAAATTCTTTAATATGTTCACTGTCTCAATTTTAGTTTATGAACAGCGCATTTTATCGAGTCAACTTCCCCTTGATAATGCACACACACCATATTACTGAATTTATTAAATAGCTTCAGCGGGTGAATATTTTTTTTTCCCTCGGCTTCGTTTTTTGGAAATGCATTGATACCTATTGATTTTGTTTTGATAAAGCCGTTGCATACACCTGATTCACTCGATTGTGAATGGGAGAAAGGATCGCATTACGATTTTATCATGCAAATCACGAACACATTTCATATGTAAAACCTAATGTCTATAATAGACTATAAATACACGTGCACGGAAAATTTGAGGTTTGGTTTTGTCGATGAAGAGCAAAAAAAGTATGAACGAAAATTCATCCCCGAAAAAAAGCAGCAGAGAAGAAAAAAATTCATCGTGTGCATGTAAAATGCATATGATCAAGAGACTAGACTGGATATTACTTCGATATCAGCGAAGCCAAGAGGGGAGAGAAGAGGTGGTTGACAAAAAAAAAAAAACTTAAGTATCCTGAAACATGATATTTGTTCGATTCAATTCACTGGCGATTCGATCTCGCTCTTTCTCTCTATCTCTCTCTCACACACACACACTTTTCATGTGCTCTTTGCCGATGTGCCGAAATAAATGTGTGTTTGTCGGCATTAACCTCTGTCTACAAAGTTATGTGAGCGCATTTTCGGTAGTAGTTGTCGTCGTTTTTTCTTTCGGTGGTGTGTCTATGCCATTTGCACCGTTGCTGCTTTGAGACCATGGGGATTTTTATGTCGCACACATATCGCAGTGTAATGCGCTTTAAAGGTGGCATGGAATGCATGCATTTCGATACAATACAGTCAACGTCTAACGACGACTTCTCCGGGTTTGTTTCATCGGCAATGGTGTGCGCCAGACGATTTTTCATGGATACACCAATAAATTCAAATTTAAGTAAATAATACGTTCACATTGCATGCTCCCTGTCTCTCGCATTGGGGCCAGCCACCATCACCGCCTCCGCTGTTGCTACACTTTTTTCTCGCCGTCATCGTCATCGTCGAATGCACAACTCGGAGGGTATAATTTATTTATTTGCTTTTGGTGGCACAAATCCGAGCAAAACAATTTTTGCCCGAAAAGCGTTGTGTTGGCTTTGCCGTTTCATCCATTCAGTCCGTCATGATTTCCAGGTATACATGACACACGTATGTACTTGTACATGCTACGACTGCTGATGCTATGCGTGCAATATTTATTCCACCTCAATAATTCGCGTGAGTGTGTTGCTTGCGCTACCTCCCTCGCCACCGTCGCCCGATTTTTTTTATTTCTCTCGCCGGAATTCATTTGATGCGACGATGTGCACAACGAAGATAAATGTCAAGTGACGGTATGCACTAGCATTATTCATGCATCTTAGTGGTCCCAATCGTAAATAACACACGAATTAAAATCATCCAGGAAGGAAGTGACGCATTTCGAGACCAGCTGCGAACGGAAACATCTCTTTTTGGTAGTTGTGTAAGCAAGCCCATGCCGCAATCGATTAATTTGCCTCAATCACATCCGATATTGTCTTCTTCTTGTCTGTTACACATCAATAAATACCGAACTCTGCAGAACAAATACTGAAATTCGATTTGACGATAAGGTCGACGAAAAACAAATGTCAGTCATCAAAATAATTCCAAATGAATGTCTCGTATTCCCTCAATATGCCCGTTCCCGTGCCCATTGCATTGCTAATCGAACATTTTCATCGATTTGTAACGATTCACTTGATCCACACTCACTACGCTAACGACACCGAACGATTCTAAATCTATTTTCCCCAAAATACAAATTTCCCTTGTGCCTTTTTCAATTAACTAAATAAATGAACAAAACAAAGGAGAAGAAGAAGAAACGTATCGAAAATGAAAATTATGCTGCGAATTACTTTTCCTTCGAAAAGAAGAAGAAAAACACAATTCCGGAAAGGTAAATTTACTTATCAACTGTAACTTCCCATTGTTTTCTCCTTTGTCTCTGTGACGCACCGTCATTCGATTTTATTTTTGTTTCAAATTCCATATCGGTGTTGAATTTATTTGTATCTAGACAAATTTCCTCCTCTTTGTAGACTTAGAAGAAACACAATTTTCAAGTGTACATAGGTAAAGCGTTTAATTGTAACATTCACATAATTACGGTCACAGCTATTACTAATAAGCCAAAAATTAAGTGATTCATCAAATGACATGAATTGAAGACATATAAAGAGATAAAGACATATAATTTTGTTCAATAACAAAAAAAAAACATTCACTTTATGCGTAGGATTAATTATTGAAATTTCATTAAACATTTAGTAGTTAAGTAAAATTAATTGAAAAAAGATAAGCAAAAATGTTGAAGCGCAAAAAAGCTCAAGTCTATTGATTCTCGGTGAATAAGTTTCAGTCAATTTTTTTTTCGTTGAGAAAAAAAAAACACAAACACACACACACAATTTAGCATTAACGAAATATACATATACAAATATATATACGATCGTACATTTTTATCGATGTGACTTTTGAATAGACACTTAATGTATTTGTAAATGTTTGCACGATTTAAAATATATTTGCATATTTCACCATCCAACGAGAATACATATTTCGCCTACATTGTTTCCAACTTACTCTCTGTTTGCTGACCCAATATCGAGTCGATACATCCAATATTCATATTTTTTCCCATTAAATTAACGTATAAATTTCTTTTTTTTTTTTGTCGAATTCCAACTTTTTTTCAAATCCAAATGTTGATGACACAAAAAGTGTTTAATTGGCTAAATAAATTGAAACAACGATTTTTCATTACTTTTATTTATTTTTGGAAATATGAAACACTGAACGAACGAATATTTGGAATATTTAAACAGATTTTCTACATTTAAATAAGTTTTTGATGTTAAAAATGAATTTATTGCTATTCGTCAGAATTGACCACATTTTTTACTGATTTCATTTTTGGTGCTGAGATGAAAAAAAGAGTTTTATGGTTTATACAACAAACTGTTTAACAAACGGTGCAATTGATGGAATGAAAGTACAATTTTACGCAATAAAATTGCTTGATTTGTTCAACAAACACAGATTTTCCGAATGAAATTCCACTGAGAAGGATCACATATAATCATTCAAAATCGTTCGAAACATCATAACAGCGCAAACCACGCTCTCAATTTCACCTCGTCGATATATTGTTAATTGATGTTTTCATTGCGATATTTTTCAATTATTCTAATATTTCGTGTGTAAATTCAACCAAAATCCCATTCATTTATCGATTCACATAATGGAACTCGTTCCATTAAATTAAATGCATAATAATATTGTCAGGAAAAACACATCCAATATTTTTTCGTTCTAATTAAACTGAAATAGAATTGTATAGATGAAACAAAGTAAAAAAAAAGAAGAAACGAGTTGGTCAATGCAATATTTGTTCCGTGTTTGGCGAATCAATTGAAAAAATCATGTTTATAAAGTAGTTCCTGTGTTTGATAAAATCCTTTTAAATAAACCTATTATATGGAAGTTTTGTTTTTTTGTTGAAAATAAAACCATTCATTTCGCATAGTATTAAAACTGCTGCCAAATAGTTTTCGGTCCATCAGTGAAATTGTTTCTGCGAAAAAGTGAATGCGGAAGCGGTAAAGCATACAGCCAGAGGTTTATTTAAAACAATACTGTATCAAACAAAAAAGTAAGCCAGCAGTAGAGTATAAGCAGAGCGAGAGAGAGAGAAAGAGAAAATTCATGAATAATAACACTTTATTAAATAAACATGTGCAATATTTTGACTGGATAGCAAATACAAAAACAAAGCGAACACACACACACACACGACCGGCAAACAAACCAAAAGCAAAATCATTCGCGAACTCATTAAATATTTAATTATCAACAGGATATCGCTAAAAATTAACTAACGAAACATTTTGCACACAATGCACCGTGTATGCGTCGCGTGCGCGCACATGGTGGCAAAAACTTATTATCGCTGCGGAATAATTTCGCGTAGCATTCATTTTTTGGTTGAGCCAACAACACAATTCCGAATTATACAAATTTTGCGTAACATGAAGAGAAATTTTTAAAAAATATCGTCGTTTTTTTTTAACTCTCACCGCGACGCTTTTGTTCGTGTGCATCGTATTGTTTCTGTCGACACAGTCATTACCGATAGTGAGGGTGTGTTTGACCACAGCTGAACACATGCCGAACAAAACACATAGTATTATTATTGCAGAATATATCATACCATTCCACATAATAACTAGATTCATTTGTTGTTGTTATTTTCTCTTCTTTTGCAAATCCATAAATGTTTCATAAACACGATGCAAAAATGCAAGCCAGGAAATAAAAACCACACAATATTTTACGAACTGGATACTCAGCTATTTTGTGTGACCATATTTATTAATTCTTTTACAACATTTTTGGGCATTCCATGGAATAATATTAATTAAAACTTGTATTTTTGTGTAATGTTTGTTACATTCCATGCGATCCTTTTACTTTTCATTTGTTTCGAAACAAAAAGACATACCAATTACAATTCAGATAGAAACGACGTTTTTTTCGACATTTTTTTTTTGATCAATATACCAAAAATGATACATTTGGTCCGATTTATATGGTGGATAAATTTAAAAATGAATTTCTAAAGAAACATTTATCACAAGAAAATGGCACACATTCAATGGAAAAATCCCACATACACGAACACATGAAACTATTTTATTGTCTCTTTGGAAATATTGAAGGAGATCAATTGATAATGTTTAAGTTACGCTATTCTTAAATGTAAGATTACAATTGAATTGAATAAAAGAAAGTATTTAATTACAAGGAGAAAATCCCACACAAGACACACACTCACACACAAAATGAAAACATAAATATAGAAATAAAGAAATATTTTATCTCAAAACTAACGATGTTCTCATTGGTGACATAAAAAGGCATATAGTTTTCCTAACATATTTCGATTTTTTTCAGAAAAAGTGTTCTTAACAAAATCCTATTTTGAAATTTTGAGGTTTTGGAATTGAATTTTGTTCAGTTTTTCATAAAGAATTTCATGGTGGTTTCAGTTTTCATTTATGATGAGTCGTTTTGGAAAATTTGCCAGGTTAATAATGAAAATATGTTATTAATATGTTAATAAGATCGGTATCTTATTAACTAGCATTTTTGGGTTAATTTTTCAAAATGATCAATCGAAGCTTCAAACTGAAACCACCACAAAATTCTTCGTGAGAAACTAAACAAAATCCGAATTTAAAACCCCAGGATTTCAAAATCGAATTTTGTTGAAAAACACTTTTTCTGAAAAAAAATCGAAATATGTTAGGAAAACTATAAAAAGGCATGCAAAGTTTACGTAGAATTGCAGTTAAGGTAAGAAATTCAAGACGCTTGAACAAATCGCTTTACGGTGGAAGTAAAAACTGCGACAACGGTAAGTGTGAATGACGTTATCAACTTGAATGTTCGATTGAATCAGCTTCAATGTGGAAAAAATAAGGCAAAAGTAAAGAAAAGAAGAACACAGTGGTGTAATACACTTGTAAAGGGTAAGAATCAAAGTAGTTGCTATGGAGATAATTGTCTTTGTTAACAAATTCGATTTACGCAGATAATCATCGATATTCATTAAACATAATCTTAAATAAGAACAATTGAAATTTGAAGTACTATCTTGAATTTCCTGTATTTCAATCATTATAATTATGAAAGGGTTATAACCCTTATCTCGAACATATCAATTACTAAAAAAGAATTTATCTCTTTTTAATCTTTTTTAAAAATAATAATTTAACTTTGAAGAAATGAAGAGTCATGCTGATTTGAATTTCGACCGTAATTTGGCTGATCCTGATCTCATTTTCGATACTAATTTGGAGAAGAATGTGTTTCTGCTTTGCTTCTGCAACATTTGGTTCCATAGTTCTCGTCGGTCGGTACCATCGATGTCAAGGCCCGCTGTTAGTTCTTCGATATTGAGCAATCTCGCGAATAAATGGTACAAGTCGATGTTCTGCATGAATGGGATTTCGACACCCTTCCGGAACCGAGGTCCATTGGCCATGAACACCGCTTGCATGCTCGACGCTCGATTGTCATAACCATGGCAGCCGAACTTTGATTCAGGTGTAACTGTTGATAAGATAATCAAATGAAACATTCGGTCAGGAAAATACGTAATGAATGAATTCACCGATGATTATTTCTAGATGATTAAAAATTATTATTGGAAAAACGTTGTAAACATTCGTAGAATTCGATTAAAGAAAAAAAAAAAACTCACGTTTTTCGAAATCAGTGTATTTCTTCAGCATGTCCCACATGTCTTGAAAAACGAAGCCTGGCTGTGCCACGACTGTACAAGGTCCAAATCGATGTGTGTTGCGAACGTGCCAATTTTGTTCGTCTAAATCATCGTTGGCATAGACCTTGTAATTGCCATTTTGTGCAGCACCATCTTTTAGCTTGTTACATATCTCCGTTTGATTGTATCCATCATTGGCAATTACTTGAAGAACCGGTGACGATCCGTACATGTTGCATGATTCTTTGCTAACAACTCGATTGAGATTGATAATGCTTTTGTCAACACTTTCTTTGTTGAAGTAAAATGTATCCATTCCATGATCGGACAGGAGGATGATATCGGTTTTATCCAAAAGTCCTGACTCTTTTAACTGTTCGCTGAAGTATTTCACCATTTTGTCGACATCTTTCAAAATTTCTGTCACCTTTTCGAAGAAATTTAGGCGAGATGAGGAAAATTAATAAATAAATGCGATTTTTCCAACAGATGATAATGTTTTTGAACGATTTTTTTTTATTCACCTGTTTCGAATGTGAAGAAAATGCGTGACTTTCGAAATCAGGATGTTCAACATAGAACATGACAAGATCGACTTGAGACTCGTTTCGTGTCAGCAACGGGATAATATTGTCGATGCGTTGTTTCCAATGCGTTTTTCTGTTGAATGGTTCATTGTAGGTGAGTTTTTTTCCTTGATATTCGAACTCAGCCGCCGACCACATCGACACAGCCGAATGTTTGCCGGCCAATTCATTAAGCGTCCAAATCGGTGTAATATCTTTCTTCATCATGAACAGTTCAGATGAGTACTTGATTAATCGACCACTCTCGTTGTCGTAGATCTCATTCGCTGTTACGCCATGATTTGCAGCATATAAACCTTGGAGAGAAAAAAAAAACGAATGGAAAATTGGAATTTAATGTAGAAAAAGCATTGGTTGCAAGTGCTGGAAATGGCCATTTCTAAAAAATATTCACAATTATGTTCTTTTTCAACGATTTCGACACTCGATTATTCTGTCGACTTTTGAACATATTTCTACGAAATAACTTCTCATCTTCTACGGCATAAGCCGAGCTATTGACGCTTTTCAAATGCTTCACTGCTTTTATTTTACACTTTTATTGATTTTTTTCTATTTTTATTCTTTTTTTTTGCTTCTTTACGATTCTATTGCTCAACAAAATTCACATTTTTCGTGTACCTGTTGCTATGGAGAAATGGTTGACCAGCGTTTTTGTTGGAAAAACTGGCTGAAGCCGTGGACAATGAACTCCGTTTTTATAAAATTGTGCAATGAATGGCATGGTATTTTCTCGGACCTGGCTAAACATTAAACCGTCCATTGAGATGACAATTAATTTGGAATCGTTGACCCTCGATCGTCTCAAAAATGATGGTTTTGCCAAACTACTTTCGAACATAAAAAAAATCACGAGTATTTTAAAAGTGGCCATTCTTAGAAATGTCATTATGAAATTTAAAATCACGTCCTAATCGATAAACAACACATTCAATGTTCAATCACTGAATGAAACGATTGATTGCGTGTTCGGCACTTTTAAACAAAACTTCGATCGCACGAATGATTTGTGACAAATCATTCAATTCCTGAAGAGCGTGTCACCAATGACGCTGATACCAAGTGCTCTAAAATGAATTCTCCAGCTGCTGCTTTGATTTGATTTGTTCAAATTATCACGAAAACAAGTATTCCATTATTATTGATAATAAATATGTGATTGTGTCGTTCAAAATTCTGCTATCTACAAAAATCAGCTGATAAGCAAAACTCGCTCGCAAAACGTCAGCTCGTAAACAAGTTTATTCAGCCGTATATTGAAAATTTATTGCAACAGTATTGGTTTAGTATATGAATATGAATAGCACAGAGAATGTTTTTATGAACAATTCACAACTGATAGTACTTATAAAAGACCAATTCACAACATTAATACAAAAAAAAATGTGAATTAAAAATTGTGAATTAAAAAAATGTTGTGGCAATTCTGCTCGCTTAGAGACGCCATTAACGAACAAAAAAAGCAAGTTGAATCACTTATATTTCATTTTAATTTCTAACTCATCTATTGACCTAACGACACATAATTTAGAAATGATTCGTTGTGATTTGAATATGTCATCATATATGAATATCATTTTCATATACACCAGTCATCGATATTTCATTTTTAGAGCATTTTGAATTGAACTGATAAAATTAGCAAAGCAATTTCTTCGAACAGTATCATTGCCTAAAAAATATATCATTCGAAGTCTCCACGAAGCATTGACGCTGCAAAGAATTCCTGTGATAGAATGTGGCTCGGATTCATAGTACGCAATTGACGTGGCCTACAATGAAAAATGGAATGAAAAATATGACGCACAATTTAAAAAAGGGGGAAAATCTTTTTCAAAATTTGGTTTCAAACACAATTCGAGTGAATATTATGAAAAATTATGAAAGAATCTACTCAAATAAATGGTTTATTTAATGTGAAGTGTTTTGGATCGTTAGAAAGCGGTTACCTAATTTCTTCGATTGAAGCGGATTCAACGAAGGATTTAAGAAATCATTTTTTATTTTATAAATTACAACTGAACATGAATACGTCCCCTGCCATTCAAAATATTTACGCATTAGTTTTATATTTCACCCTATGCCGTTACTTTCATTCGAAACATTAGAATGTGATGCATTTTTAGCCGTGTGACTGAACTAATCTGTTATTTATTAGTTTTATTTAGTTAGTTCATGTTTTCCATGGCGGGGATCATAGTGCGCAAAATTGCATGAAATGCAAGTGAAATGCACGCAACACGAACGGTACATTGAGCCGTGCTGCGTAACACGATACGCCTAAATGGTAATGTGTGTATTGGGAACAGATGTTTCGGTGCACATAATTCGTGGTGAGGCCCGCATTTTTTGTTTGTTTGTTTCATTTACTTTCATGTTTACATTGAATATTATAATAAATTTGGCTATTTGCTGTTTACAAGTCGTGTTTCGCCCAGAACAATCTTCCGCTGTGGAAGTGAAATAACCGAATAATGTTTGTTGTGTATTTTTCCCTTTTTCTACCACGAAGAAACTTTGAACCACCCACAAATTGCATTCAAACTGATGAAAAACTCATTTTTCCGTTCAACAGATTAAACCAACTGTGGCCTTGATAAGCCTCAATCTCTGGAGAATGGAACGAGGTTTTCTCTTGATGGTGATGTTTTTTTTTAATGTTTTAGTTTTTTACCATTTTTTTTCCTGCTCAGTTCGCCTTCTTCTTTGGTGTGGCTGTCATTTTACGGTTGTGGCGCAAATACACACAGACACAAAAAAAAAAATGGGAATGAGTTCGAATGGATTACGACTTTGGAATAGATTGTTTTGTAGCGTGGCATTTCAATTTTATCTATTGCGTACGTGTTCATGGCAAACGAACGTTATCAAATTGATTGTGAAACACACCGAAAAAAACAACAACAACAACTGTGGCAATACAGCAACGGCATCACCACCGACCGGTGCATACAATTTAACTGATTGGGGTTTTTAGTTGATAGATTTTTTCGTTCCGACGTAAGGTCGTTCGGTTCGATGTCATATTTGGTTGGTTTTCGCTTTTGGTGTGAAATGGTCTGTGTGTTTCGGTGGCAAAACGCATTTTCTTTTTCCATCGAAATTGAAAATGGTAGAAAGAAACGGAGTGACTGTTTGCAAGGCAGCGCATTGACATCAGCTGGATGATACGAAACTGAATACGTAATTACGGTTTATTGCACTACAGACACTCGGAACTATTGTGAATTATTAGCAAAGAACCTAAAATAGGGGGTTCAAATGAACATCGCACAGCGAGCTGAAAAATGAAAAGGTGCAGGCGAGTGAAATATTCTAGACGTGCTTTGAAATTTTTCATTGCCACACTTGATGGATGGATCCGATGACAGGTCCGTTCATTTTGTGCCATCGATTGAATTGAAATTTGCCAGTGTTTCATTCACACTCAGCTCAGTCTTTGCACACAGAGCATGTAGATGCGTCTTGTGGCAATTTTGGATGTAACAGCTAACAGAATCATTATTCATCTTTCGACGTGAGACGAAAGCGACTGGAATGGAGAATGGCCAATGACCATTGAATGGCAACTTCAGATTCATTAAATACTCGAGCCCAGTGGAACGGTAGCGAGGGGAGGATGAAATGTTAATTTGATTGCGACATATTTCAAATTCGACGAGGAAAAAAGCGGTTCATTCAATCATTTTCCGACAGGAGGAAACTAATTTGTTGACAGTCTTGGTGTAAATCAAGCAATCTAATTTTCACGCGGCTCGACGAAATTTTTTTCTTCAGAAAATTCTATTTTCATCCACCACAAAATGAGGGCTAGTGCAAAAAAACCTAATAATAAATTCCAATACCACCAAGATGAAAACACAAACACAAAAACAAATCATCTTCGCTGTGTGACATTGTAAAACAGGATTATTATTTGCTAGAACAACCGCCACCGTCATCGTCGGTCTTTGTAACATTTAGAAAAGTTTGCTCGTTGTGTCATTTAATTCGTTGTATTTACTGAATTAATTTGCATTTCATTAGCGATGGCAAACAATGGAAAATCGCTTTCGTTCGCCGCGTTGCGTCTCAGAGTTAAAAGTTAAAGTTTACACTGTAAACGCATTATTTGCATTTTCTGTCCTACCCGATGAATCTCGAAAACGGCGCCACCGAAAATGCCAAAGCTGCAAAATGAGTTTCGCTGGAAACGAGATGGTGGTGGTGGTGGTTGTGGCTGTGTGTTGGCGTATGTGTGTTTAGGTGCGATTGTGTGTGCGCACGGTGTGCGTATTGTCGGTTGTCACGTTGCGAAAATTCATTTGCTATGGTTGCGACTCTTCCGAATGGTCCATCATTTCATATTGAAATTTATGAGAATGTGCGAATGGGAACAGGAACTCAAGAGAATTTAGCGGATGTAATGCTTATGGATGCCAACGACTGAAAGTATTTTGTTCCCGGATGAAATTAGCAGTTAACACACAGGTAGATGTCTCACACCCCTCCATCATCATTCTATCGCTCCATTCTCGTTGCTGTCGTGCATAACCAGATTGTGTACGTTGTCGCTCCGTATTCACTAGACCACAAAAAAGAAACGAATTGAGCTCTGAATATATTTTAATTAAAAATTTGCCGTCTAATTAGAAATAAGAGAAATGACATATCGAAATGAATATTTATATAATCCGTTCAAATGGAAAATTTCCGGCGTCAAACATTGTGTCGGCTATTTTTAGTTCCAGCGGAAAATAGAAACATTCGTGAAACAGATTCTCCGGATCTACGGATGTCATTTGATGTCGTTAGGTGTCATAATTATGATGAAAACAATCTCTTCAGCTCTCTCGCTGACGCTGGGAAAGTATTCACTTCATGGCTCATATTACACAGAAAAACTCATGTAAATTCCAAATACAATTAGCGGCATCATCTTCTCGGATTTTTTTTTCTTTCTGAAATTAAACCAACGCTAGACTTTCTCGCTACAATAATTATAGCTGCACCGGTAATAAATTAGTTTCAATTTAAAAGTTATTCAAAACAATGCCAAGCGCATGTATTATCCCATTATGATGCGAGCATCCTCTTCATTATATTTAATAGTTGGCTTTTTTGTTGCTCGTTCATATCCATCATAATTGCCTGGATTAAAAAGTCACATCTGTTTTGGTAGCGATTCTCGAAAGTGTTTTTAGTCATAAATATAAGTGTTGGTCCAATAAATAACTCGACACAGTGAGTGGGAAAAAAGAATAAACACTCTATTTTTTCAAGCATCGCGTAGCACAGATCTATATTTCGTGTATTGCATGATGTGTGAATAATATCAAGAAGTGCAAATATTTCAAATTGTAACACTTTGATAAACATTTTTAGGTTGAAAAAAAAAATTGCTATCCGATCGATGGTCAGAAACACATTATGAATATGGGGAGAATGTTTTTTGGTCGACAAATCATATTGACACAATTTTGCGCGTGGAATTTGTGTAATAAATCTAGAAAAATATTTTACACTGAATTCTTGGACGTCATTCATTCAGCAGCTTTTTTTTATATGTAAAACCTCAGACACAAATAACACGTGCCAACATAGCGATGGAAAAAATATACAGCAAAAATGATTGCTAAGAAAATAAATGAAAATTATACTTTTAGAAATATTTCAAGGTTTTTTTCCAAATCCAACAATCAAGTATTGAGTCTACTTCATTTTGAATTTTACCAAGAAAACTACTTGAATCCAAATTAAATCAATTAAATTCTAAAGTGTAATGCTAATTGTATGCGAATTGCACAATCTAATTTGATTAATTAAATTTGATTTTAAAACTCAGCAAAGAAACCTAAAACGAATAAAACGAAAATCTTATTCCCACTAAATGTACGTTCAACTAAATGAATACTCAAAGAAACTATTTACCATTCATTATGTGAAGATATGCTCCAAAAAATGGAATCCTTCAAAATGTTCCAAAGCACTCCATCTCTATATGGTGACTATAAAGTTTAAGGAGAGAGAAAAAAAACCGTTTAAAAATTGCATCCATTGTGTGTTGGGATCATAGTTAGAAAAGTAACTGGTTAGGGAACAATGGCACTTTGACGAGTTTATATGTATAGTTTGAATTGAGTGCATCCGAATGTGTTGAGAGTTTTAATTCAAATTGATGAAAAACAAAGTGTCATAATGGCTTCATAATGGCAAAAATATGTGGATGATGTTGAACAGCGAGCGAAAGAGAGAAGGAGAGCGAGAGAGAGAGAGAGAGTGAGCGAGAGTAGAAGAAAGTTTTACACTGGAATCTTTCAGCCATTGCTCTTGATGCTGTCAAATACCTAAGTACAGATAATGCCAACCGCAAATACATGTATAATTCTGACATAAAATATGCACACTTCAAACTTTGTACAGCTCACATTTCAGCTGCCAACGAGAAGCTCTCGTTCTCTCTTTCTGCCTCTCGCCATTCTCGCTCTTTTTTTCCGATCTGGCTTTGTATGTGACTGTGGCTTTTTCCCTCTCTTTCTCTCTTCATCCACATTGTACATTGTTTCCATCTCCACACCCTCGTTCAACACACAATACCAGCAAACTACAAAACGTTTGCACAAACACAACAAATGAATTAAACTCTTTTAAAAAGTTCTCATTTACACTCACTTTCCGGTTTTGTGATGTTTTATCGGTGCGTGCACTGATGTGGATGTGAAGGAGAGAGCGAGACACGGAGATTCGACACTCTGGCAAAGGTTAAATGACTATGTGCAAATTTACGCTTGAACGTATGTGAACGTTTCGAAGTGATTTTGAAGCGGAGCGTGCGAGATGTGACAAAATGAGAATATATGCTTTTAATTGCAAAAATATGCTTGATTTTTTGGGTAAAAGCGAACACATACGGGGAATAAAAAAAAAACCTCCAATGATAAAGTGTCAAGTGACGTTGAAACTGAGCAAAGGATTTCGTCCAAATAAAACGCGACAATACAAACAAAGACTGTCGCAGCACATCATCTCTGAGAGAGTAAGACAGAAAGTGAGCCACAGGGAATGGGAGCATGGGAGAGAGTGAGAGAGAGAGAGAGTTCAACAATCTCAACATATTTTCCGTGCTGAATGCAAAGACATCCAGGAATTAAACGGCGAACATTTTATGTAAATATTTTGAAAGCATATGTGAAGCGACACAGGCGAATAAATACGTTTTAAATAGACGGATACTTTCTTTTTGCCCGTCTTCACCCGCTCTCAATGTGTAAACCGACACACAATTCGATGGAATGAAACAATAATGCGTGGTTGTTTTAAATGTTAAGACGAGGAAAAGTCAAAGCACATTTTCACTGGAATTCCCAGCAAAAGACAATGAAATCACACAACTAGAAACACTTTTAATGTATTTTCTAACGTACGCACGCTTCAATGCCATCTCACACGTTTCAAGGATTTACACGATACATTAGCAGCCTACAAACACATCAAGCCATACAAACATTAAACAAACGCCTCGTTAAATCACCTTTTCACGATTTGTATCACAACTGAAATATCGCACTTTACTTTGGGAAGACATGTTTCTTGGTTTTATTTTCAAACAGCGAATTATTCGAATTTTCGTGGAAGTTTCCAGTAATCAATGCTGATTATTTTGGAAGCAATAATAACCGATTTCAATACAACCTACGACATGGGTCTTACGTCATTTAAACCATCTCTATTTGACGAATTTCTACAGCTCTGACAAAAGACAGAGCAGAAAAATGTACGTCTTTACGTCAAGAATAGCGCTATCAAGTCCTAAACAAACATATTTCACTGGGAAACGTGGGCCAGACCACACAAAAGCGAATAATGATACGACAATGAGCATCAAGCTAAAAATTGAATGTTGACATTTTGATATTGAGAGAGTTCAATGAATTCCGAAAAGAGATTGCTGCAACAAATGTGACTTTTTTTTCAGGGAATCCCATGTCTGTTGTTGTTGATGAAAAAGAGAGTAATTGTGAATATCCACGTTAAACTTTCAAATAAGCACGTTTTTTGCCACATACTAATTTAATAATGAATTCATTAAAAAAAAAAATCCGATCAAAGTGGTGTTTTTAGCACATTTCATTTCTGGTCTGGCAGATGCAAAAAACCGATTAGTAAGTGCAAATTGTTTCTGTTGCCACTCGTCACAATATACATTGCACCCACGGAAACGCAAACAACCACAAAAAATGTTTATTAAATCACAAAAATAATAACCATCTCAATTACCTCAAGCAAATTACATGTTGATAATTGCATATTCGTTTAATTTTATTTCATTCATGGTTCATTTGCTCAACTGATAATGGTTATGATACCGAAATGTGTGATTGTTTGTTGTGTAATACAATTTTTGTTCCACAAACACGAAACAAATTGCCGACCGACTGGAAATTATACATGCCGCTAATTAAATTTTAATAATAGACAACTTAAGCAAACGAATGATAATTTACACATTGAAATATTCAACAGCTCGGCGATATGTGTGATATTGTTTGTTTTGGGTTTGATCGAGCGTAACTTCCCCGCGACGGTTAATAATACAATATCGAGTATTCGAGACGTAATTTAAAGAATTTATTTTCTTTCTATTTAGTAATAAGTTCAGTGTTATGCGACGTCTAACCACGTGGTGTGATTAAATTTAGACACAGCAACAACAATCGTTTAAACTGTCAACGAATACTTTGCGCAAACGAAGAGATGCAGGCACACGATGCGAATGCTATTGTGTGTATATTTTGATACAAAACAGTGTCGCCAAGAGAGTGACGTTTGTTTGTCTCTCTGTGTGTTTGTGAATGTAGCATAATATTGAATGATAATTGATGTGTGTTTGAGAGTTGAGTTAGTCGAATCAATCAAATCATTTTGCACTTAATCTCTCTTTCTCTCTCATGTTCGACTTGTGAAATTGTTTTACGGCCGCAAGATAAAGCGATATTATCGACGATGAGAGCACATTTTAGAGAATTACGTTGTGAAACACGGTCACATCGCGTAGCTCGTGGTAATAATTGTGTGGTAACCGTAATTTTTTGTGTTCAGTTGAAAATTATCGTGTAACGAGTGCAGAATAACCAATGGAAAATCACAGTCTGAGCGATTTACATGCGACAGAAGCGCAGAATGACCATAACCACGAAGTGTGCCATTCAATAACAATCGATTTTGATGTTAAAACTCATTTTGGCTCTTTTCATTTCCAGCAGGAGAATGGCGAGAAGCAATCGAACGATGAGAAGCGTGGCGCAAGCATTTTGTACGGCATTGATGATATTCCACCATGGTATTTAAGCATCCCAATGGCATTTCAGCATTATTTAACGATGATTGGTGCCATCGTTTCGATTCCGTTCATATTAACGCCCGCGCTTTGCATGAGCGATGAAGATCCAGCACGTGGCCTAATCATATCGACTATGATTTTTGTCACTGGCATCGTCACCTATATTCAAGTGACGTGGGGCTGCCGTTTGCCCATCGTACAAGGTGGAACGATAAGTTTTCTCGTAAGTTTTTGCCAAAACAGAAAAAAAAAAAAACGAATTTCCAGCCAACTATTCAATGTACATTTTTCTCCGCTTTTAGGTGCCAGTGCTTGCAATTCTCAATTTGCCACAGTGGAAATGCCCGAACCCAGATAAAATGAACGCAATGTCATCGGATGAACGGACTGAATTATGGCAACTGAGAATGCGAGAAATTTCTGGTGCGATCGCGGTTTCCGCTATTTTTCAATTAGTCATCGGTTTTACGGGATTTGTTGGGAAATTATTGAAAATTATTACACCATTGACTATCGTTCCAACGGTGTCACTCGTTGGACTTACGCTGTTCAAGCATGCCGGTGAAACGGCTGCAAAGCACTGGGGAATTGCAGTTAGGTATCTTTTAAATGACCCGATTTTATTGTATTTTATTGCCACACCACACACATACACACGATCTAATTTTATTTATTTACTGCCATTGAAGCACAACGTTCCTATTGACACTGTTCTCGCAAGTAATGGTCGACGTACAGTTTCCATTCATTGTGTATCGCAAAAACGAAGGATTTCAAATACGTTCATTTGGATTATTCAAACTATTTCCGGTTGGTAGTAAATTCTCTTGAACCAATTCTCACGGTGAATTTTCTTTCGAAAAGAGAGAGAGATGGAAATAGAAAGATAGCAGTTTTACATCGCTTGATTAATTATTCGATTTGTGTGCTAGGTGCTGCTAACAATATCGATTATGTGGAGTTTGTGTGCCATTTTAACCGTGACTAATGTACTTGAAGAAGGTCATCCGGCTCGCACAGACGCTCGTCTACGCGTACTCACCGATTCGGCATGGTTCTACATTCCATACCCTGGGCAATTTGGCTGGCCAACCGTTACCGTTGCTGGTGAGCTTTCTTTTCAAATGAAGAGATTTTTTCAATTAGTAATAAGGGAATGGACATTTTTTGGAATGAAACATTCACTTTTTTCTCTAGATTTTTTTTTTTAGCTTGATGTCAATTATTCATTGAATTTGTTATTCCATCCAACTCATTTATACGTTTTATACATTTTCAATGTGAATTCTGAATTAATTTACATTTTTAAATTATATCCTTCTTTCTCATCCACTTTTCCATGTTAATCATGCATTCAAAAGGCGTTCTCGGAATGTTAGCTGGTGTATTGGCATGTACCGTTGAATCAATTAGTTATTATCCGACCGTGTCGCAAATGTGTGGAGCACCGCCACCACCATTGCACGCTATAAATCGTGGCATTGGCATCGAAGGACTCGGCACAATTTTGGCCGGTCTTTGGGGTTCGGGCAATGGAACAAATACATTTGGTGAAAATGTTGGTGCCATTGGAGTTACGAAGGTAAGCCAACAGAAACTTAGTTCGGCATCACAAACAAGGCTCAAGTTTTATTTCAGAATTTGTCTCCCCAATGAATTTTCGACACTATTTTCCTTATTACCCTTACATTCTTCCTTTTTTCAATACGCATTTTCGTGCAAACATTTTCTATTTTCTATTTTAGATTGGCAGTCGTCGAGTAATCCAATGGGCAGCATTAATCATGATACTGCAGGGTGTTATCAATAAATTCGGTGCTGTTTTCATTATGATCCCAGATCCAGTTGTTGGTGGTCTATTTTGCGTTATGTTTGGAATGATCACTGCATTTGGTTTATCAGCTTTGCAGTACGTCGACTTGAGATCATCACGGAATCTGTACATAATTGGGATATCACTATTTTTCCCATTGGTCTTATGCCAATGGATGCAACAACACCCGGGTGTCATTAACACCGGCATCAAGGAGTTGGACAGCACGCTGTCGGTCTTACTAAGCACAACCATTTTGGTCGGTGGATGCCTAGGATGTTTGCTCGATAATCTCATTCCAGGTAATGAATGCATTTTTACGCATTTTCTTACACAAATCGAATATGTTGCAATAGCTAACCGATAGACTTTGATTTATGGTCAGAAGAATCTACATATACGAATTGCAACTATTGATTTGATTTTACTGTAGTTAATCGAAAAGTAACTTTATCCAAATAATGCAATTGCAGGGACGAAAGAGGAACGCGGTCTGATTGCTTGGGAAAAGGAAATGTCATTAAAACAGAGCGAATCGACTGAAATTGAACCGGCTTCGTCGACATTTGATTTTCCACTCGGAATGGATGCACTTCGCAGGTAATTTTACTTATATTATCGAAAAACAACATCAACACTTCAGAAAAATGCACCCTTTTCATTCAGAGGCGTTCAACATTGATTCATTATCCGGAAATAATTGATTTTGAAAATGAAAACATTTTTATCGTTCCGAAAGAGAAAGAGAAAACATTGTGATTAAAATGAATGATTCGATTTCAGGTGCAAATGGACGACGTACTTGCCATTCCTGCCGACCTACAAACAGCGAAAAACCAAATAACCGATTGAGTCGAGAGACATTTAATCGTTGCATCGAGCATCGCCTCATTTATTTTGGAATTTTCCGACCGGAGTGGATGAAAATACGTTCATTGTATACACAATTTGTAGTTTAAATTTATAGCAGAGTGGAAAATATGCGAAGAGAGAATTGTGTTGTTTACAGAAAATTAAAACTGAATATAATTGTTTTGTAGCAAACTAATTATGGTATTGTAATTGTGAAAATGTTGTAATATTAATGCCCGAATAATAACTAGTGAATAAAAATGCTTTGATGCTATTAAAATAAATCCGGGGATTGTGTTGTGTGTTTGTGTTATGTTGGCATACAATGGAACGATGGCGAGAATTGTGTAATTGTTGAAAAATCAGAATAATAAACAGTCCTAATGAATCAGCAGTATTTTCATGATTCGTTCCCATTGTATTGTGTGTGTGCGGAACATAATAACACAGCTTTGATATGATTTTCTCTTCTCAATGAACTGCATGAAAAGTATATCTGCTTTTTGCATTTTCCATCCACCCTTTCATGCGGAGAACCAGAGCCGGAAAAAAAAACAACAACACGATGGCAAAATACAATATGATTTTTTGCTAGCGGCAAATGCTCCAACCAGAGACGCAACAGAGATGGTTGGTGTGTTCGTGTATCTGTCAATTATTATTCGGTTATGTGCATTGCATGATGTTTGTGTCGGTGGTTGACGGAGTGAAGGGGGACCATATGTGAAATGAATACTGTTGAAATTCGGTTGCATTATTCTCGACGAGAGGTGAAAATGCTGTAAATTTAATGGTTTTCTAGTTTTCCGGGCGAATCAACGTATCTCTTGGTTGATTTCAAAAACATGCGTTTGTGTAAAATGAGATGCGTGCATTGAGAATACATACACACAGAAAGGGGAGGAAGAGAGACGTTCATTCATCAATTTATGTGTTCAGTGTGCATATTGTCCGTTTAGCAAAAAGTTCTTCTCATGTTGCACTGGCAACAATAACTTATTGTGCTGATTCATAATTCCTACGAAATCGACATAGAGAGAGAGAGAGAAAAAGAGAGAGAAAGAGAGAGGGAGAGAGAGAGAGAGAGAGTGAGGGAAACTAGAGAAAATAGCTTTCTTTTGTAGCCGAATATCTAAGTCCACCATCATCGTCATGTAAAAAGGCGCTCCAAAAACGCAAAGTTTACTCTCAGAATGGATTCATTGTGTGCAGAAAATTGTGTACTTTGTGAAAGCTTAATGGATGGAATAGTGTAAAATGTATGCTCTCCCATGGGCGCTTGATATGTGTATATGTGGAACATAACGTATGTTTATTACACCGGTGTATACTCTTTTTTTTTGTGTGGGGAGAGACGACTCGGTCGAATACACGAAGGTAACATGTCTTCGACGCTAAGAAGAGAAACGATCTTTTTTTGCTACTTTCGGCTGGCATGAGCAAGTAGAAAATGATGCTGCGAAGAAAACGAACAAACAGACAATTTTATAAATAGTCTTGTCTATAATATTTTCATGAGCACGGCATTTTTGTAACCGAAAAATAAATTACGATATGACAGCAATGTGCGAGCGCACCAGCGAGTATACACAAAATGCTATAGAACCAAATAACGCTTGCATCAACACCAAACACAACAAAAACCGTCTTTTTCCTCCCTCTCATTGTTGTTGTTGTTGCTGTTGCGTCTTTTTCCTCTCTCTCACTTCATCTCTCTCCGTCGCTCTCGATCGCTCATTCCCGTTTCACTGTTGGCAATCGCATGCACTAGGTTTTGTACATGGAAAATTCGGTTTTGCAAGCAAGTGCTCAGGCGATAGGACGCAACAACGATGCCAGAGAAACTTTAAACTTTAAAGAACAAAGTTTTAACAATAACCATGTTCCATGTTATTATATTTTTGTTATTGTTTATTATGTTGATGTGATATTGTTTGCTTTTGTACTTTTCTTCTGTCGTTTTCTTCTGTCGTGGAATATTGTCTTGTGAAGCGATTGCACCATGCTTTCACACTAGACTCATGCAAGATATGTATAGGAAATGATATTGATTTCACACACAGAGAAAGAGAGAACAGCATTTTGTGCTTCGCTTGTTGAGAGCGACCGAGAAAAAGAGACTATACTTAGGCTTTGTAAGACGTGCCATATCAATTGAATAGCAACCAAACGGAAACTCATGAACAAGACAACTCACACACTCACAAAATGCCGAATTAAGCAAAAGATTCCATAGAAACTGTACAAAATAGCAAAAGCATGTATATTTCCGTTCATGCTCTGATGAAAAGTCTCTGCTTCTATTTCGTCTTTTCAAGCCCAAAACAAAACCGCACAACACTGAATCTCGATGATTTACTGCCTTTATTAATCGCTGTTCGGTCCAAAGTTTCTGCTTAAGAAAGTTTCCATGCAAAAGTAATGCGGTCGGCGTAAACTCTCGCGCGTCCAACCAGCTAAAACACACGCAAATGAAATTCACATTATGGACCAGCAACTAACAAATGAACCAAGTCGATCGATTTGTCTTGTAGTTGTTTTTTTTCACTTTTGCCCCACCCAATCGATACATCAATTTCAATTTCAAGCCCAATTCTTCACGACGCATTCCAAATGTGTTCGTCATTCGAATATCAATTCACAATAATAATGTATCATTCGATTAATGTGCAGAACAAGTTTTATTTTCGGTGCACACATGGAATATCCACAGCAATATGTTGCATCCTAAACTATGCTACAGTTTTCGATGTTTTTCTGGGTCCATGAACCAATTTCGAAAGTTAAACTGTTTTGGATTTTGAGAGATTATAGAGTGCATTTAATCAAGTTCTAGAGTGGAATCAGCTTGAATGAGCTTGAGCTATGCGTGTTGTCAGTCAGTGTCCAACATAGAGCTGTGCTCCGATTTTATGAGAAAATGTCGAGAATTCGCATCTGGCTAACGCTCGCAATGTGCTTGATTTGATTTTCAGTGCAGCATATGTATCCGTGCTACGCATATGGTCATATAATATGGTAATGTGATAAATCTTAATTACAATTCGTGCACATAAAAGTATGGGTTAAGCGCACAACATTGTCTCAGCGATCTAATTACTTCCACAGCTTCATTATTTAGTTATGAGCGCTTGCAATGACAACGATTTAGTGAACGAATGGAAAAGTTACGTATTTATATAGTTATTTTTTTTCGTGTCATCTCATTCATCGTTACCGAAATGAATGTGCTATATTTATACTTCAGTCCGTAGACATGGTCGTTATGACTAACTTTGTCGCATCCATTTCCAACGGTCATTGAACAATCAAATCACATTCGCCAACCATCACAATTGCTTTTAATAATAAATGCGAAATCGTAGTTTAGAAAAGGACCGAATAGAGGTCACATACTATAAATCTGTTGTGAATTTTCATATTTTCTATTTAATACAATTCATTACAATTCTTTTATACTAAAATATTTAAATTGTATATCGAATATGGATTTTTTACCAATTTTTAAGCGGCTGATGGCTCAACGTGAATACAGTGGTGATTTTAACAGTAAATTTACGAATGAACAACGCCAACACATTCAAATCCGAATAACACCCGATGTATGCTGAAAAATGAATGACCAAAAACATAAAGTCGCATTCAACGTGTCCAAAACGCATAAATACGGCATCGCATAAATATCGCGCGATAATTTTCTGCTTGCGTTGCCGCAGTATACGATATTTCAATAGCCGTCTTACGACGCACTTTCGAATTGCTTTACACATATAACGAAGCGAACGCAAGCGAGCGTCGCAAGATGACGGTCATTGAAATATCTTATACTGCGGCAACGCAAGCAGAAAATTATCGCGCGATATTTATGCGATAAGTGCCTTATGCGATGCCGTATTCATGCGTTTTGGACACATTGGTCGCATTTAAACGAAATCGCGTAAAAAACGAAAAAATCTAAGAAAAATCTGATATAATATAGACATAAGTATTTTTGAAGTTTTTGTTTTTTAATCAATCAGAGAGATGACTTCTTTTTGTGACAGAAAAAACATCAGAAAGTTTCATTTGAAATTTTATTCATTACAAAAAATAATGTTGGTACAATTTATTATAGAGATTTCTTAATACAGCTGAGAATATGTTTAATTCTTTAATCTTCTCCACAGCGTTACTTTAATCTCGACAACTAACTGAGTCACAACACGATTCGAAATTCAATCATACATCATAAAACCCAAGAATGACCGAATCGCCATGGATATACAAGCTGGTAGAATCATTGAATTTAATTTCCCGCTCAAGGGAAAAAGTTTCAAAATAGTAATCCGAACACGCCAAAAATTCTATGGAATACCTGAATCCTGGTCTGATTTCGAGTGCATGCTTAAATGCATAAAATATTAAATGATAACATTCAAATCGAGCCTCTCTGATTAATTTCCTTCCTTCGTCAGAATTCGATGTCATTGGATTTTCATAAACTCTAATACGGATGATTTTGTATTCAGATTGGCATGGATGTATAACCTTCTCTGTCAAAATCGGTGAAAAGGCCATAAATCTCAACCGAATCAATCCATTTGATGATAAAACTGTCTTTACAGAATTCATGCGTATCTTTTTAACTGGTGTCAATTGACGTTTCGAGATGTTCTTTTTAGTCCAAGGGAGTCTTTTGTATTCGGTCACCCCTTGTGATTCAAGGCAAGAAATCATCCATCGACAAAAGCTTATGTATTCTTCCCATTTAGAACTTCTACCACTAGTGTCCATTGTTATTTCCTTTAAAACTTCCCTAAAACCAATTTTGTTGACCGAATCCTGCAAAATGTGTGCTAAATTTTCTCGATTGTGATCTAAACCAGCTCGTTTCAAAGCATTGGATGCCCATACCATACAAGCACCTAATATTGCGATTTCGCCACATAACATTACATCCAATTTCAGAATATGGTCCAAAACAATTCGATCGCAGTTTTGAAACATTTCCGATTTGAACACCATAAGAGGAAAAAACCTTATTTTTTGCTCGCAGCACTGTTTTAGTTCGGTTAAATCGTAAAAAATTGCCCAGTGATAAGGCCAGCAGACCTCTTCAATGTTCGTATTCATCATCCAGAACTTTTCGCACATTCTCGTAGACTCGAACATGCAATATTTGCTTGTCAACCCAATCACTTCGACGATATTTTCGATGCTGAGTTTGACTTCGTCCAAGTAACAGAATTGAAGAAACTCCTTGAAGGCACCCGGTGAAATTTGTCGTAATTCTACATCACCTTTTTCACATGTTTTCCCATAAAACATGGCATCAAATGCATCGCTCGCCTTGGACAATATTATCTTGTGTCCTGGAACACGTTCCTTTTCAATTCCACACACAAAATGCACGTCCGCTGTTCTTTCGTCTAAATATAAACTTCGAATCACTTTTGAGGCCAACTCATTTTTTCTACTTTCATCACGAAAACCATTCATTTGGTTCTGGGCATCGGTTTCCGTTTTTTGCTGCGATGATTCATTGGTGGATGATGATGCCATTTTTAAAGAACGTTCTCTCTAAAATACAGAACGAAAATTGCCAAAAATATTCACTTTTTAGACACTTGTACTAGGAAACAGACGTGTATCGATCAAATTCAAGATTGAAACTGATTTTTTCTTTCTGATCCTACTGGTTTTTATTAGAAGATAGAATCCTAATACGCAAGCAGATGCATTTACACCGAATCTCTTGTCTTATGCACCTCCTGGAAGTCATGATCAGATTAAGTACTTATGTTCGATCATTAGGTGGTAGAAGTCAAAGCCATGTAATGTGTTAAGCAATTTTCGTAGAACTGAGACAGACTATTTCTAGCCATCGTCCTTATCATCCAATTTCATGAAAACTCGTCCAGTGCATTCGAACTCAACGCACCAAAGTGTTGTAAACTGTGTATCCATAATCCGACTACAGATGAGTACTCAACGTATTTGCAGCAGAAAAATTCCGTTGAGAAGTGTTTTCGTTCGATTAAATCATCTGCAAAAAACAAAGATATTTTCATTTGCCTTTTTAGCACTACCTGAAATGTAGAGCTACTAATCTGCTTCTTTTTTTTCTTAATACTTTTTGAGTGATGAAACCAATTATGGTGAATTTGAATTTTATGCTCATATTTTTTATTTAATTTAAAACAGTGGCAGTAACGACAAATAAGTGCATAATATTTGAAAGCGCCAATCAAATTTTTATTATCAAATGTAGTTTAAAAATTACATTAATTGATAACTTATGCAATTAATTTAAATAAAAGTCGTTTTTGAATCGATAACAATTCAATTTATTAAAATGTTCCAACAATTAAAATCGTTACACACATACACAAATTGTGTTCAAAGCTAACACGCTCATTCAAGTGCACAATTTTGATTGTATAATTTTTTTCACTTGCTATGACTCAGGCATTATTCCGTCTAATACCCAATTAGAGTGAATCTAGCGAATTGTAAACAACGCAAAATCGAACAGAAAATGCTTGCATTAATTGAAAAACTGGCACAAAACATTATTGCTACAGCCAGTCAGCCAGCCACAGCGAGGTCGTTATTCATTTTCTGTTCTTTTCGCTAAATTGTTCTTCGACTGTGATGATTTTGTTTTACTTACGTATTTTTTCTATACAAAGACAATGATTAAAATGTCGCTGTCAATACATACGGCTTCATTTCATTTTCTTTATGTGCCGAATTCGGCATTACATGAATGAATATAAAAATTCCCTTGTCTCCGGCGCTATATTGATGGTCAGATGAAATCGTCGATTTTTATCATTCATTTTTATTTAAATTTTTGATAGAAAAATTATGAATTTAATTTGATTTTACAAATTGTAAATTGTTTTTATACTGTCCATTTCAAATGGAGGTATACAGTAATTTCGATTTTGTTTGTATTTATAATTTCAACGATTTTACGTCTATAGTTCTACGAACAAAATAGATAAACAAATGAGAAAAAGAAATATGAAAATAGAAAATGACGAAAAAAATAGAAATAATTAATCAAAATGCTATCAAATTGTGTTGAAGGTTGAAAACTGAATGGTGTGACATAAATCTCTGAAAATGCCTTAAAAATTAACTTAGGTTCATTCAGCGATTGCTGCTGATTTGAATGTAAATATGATTGGTTTTATCCGCCAATTCGATGTGTTCAATGATGTTCGGAAAGAATTTGGTGGTCTTCTTGAATGTGGCCAAAATTTCCATTTCCATTGATTTGTCGATTGAATCGGTTGGTGGCTTTGTGTTGACAATTAAAGCCAGTACCGCGCTCTCCTCAGGTACTTCAATATCGTTATCGCGGAAGCTAACCACACGATTTGGACCATGACACTTGCAATTGTAATGATGCGTGATGCAAAATTCCTTGAGGTGTTTGAAATCGTTGTCTTCATCGATGTCTGATTCGCAGTTGAGAAAGATTGTGATTAGATGTAAATGCTGCAGCCGACTGAGTCGTTTGGCACACTTGATCAACCCATTCAGATGGTTTTTCTCGACTTTAAGTGCTGACATTTTGAGTCCATGCATTTCTGTTAAACCGGCCAAATTGTCGAGCACAATGTTCAGTCCTTCGAAATCGCTGCGCACAAACGCCAATGTGTTCAAGTCAACCAATTTCTTGCCGATCGTTGCCAATAAGTCCAGATCGATGGGCGATTCAATTTGCAGCGACATTATCTGCGGATTCAGCTCAATGAATTGCTGCAATTTGTGCTTGTCTTCATCGTTCCATGTGATTATATTGAGATAGAGTTCTTTTAGAGATGGCCACGATTCCGCTGGCATTTGTTCGAATTCACCATCCCATTCGTTGCCATCCAAATGGAAACTTTGCACATTTGCACAGTAGCTGGGCATTGCATACAAAATGTTACAATTCGAAACAATGTGAATTGTAAGTTTGTTCAGCTGTTTCAATACGGGTGCAAACCATTGTAGCATCTCCCATGAAATATGATCCTTTCGAATGCTGAGCGTTTCAAATTTTGGCCCAAGATTTTTGACAATCACCTCGGAAATGCGCTTTTCAAATTCGTGATTGTTCAAACAGTCCAATTCAGCGTCTGGATCGGTTTCTTCGCTGTCTGAGGATTCGTCCTCATTTTCCGTCGCTTCTTGCGACGTAGATTCTTCGGTTTGATCTGTTTGCTCTGACGCATCAGACTCCGGATCATATTTTACAGTTTCTTTATCAAATAATTCGTCATCAGACTCATCCGATTCGTCATCGGATTCATCCAATTCGTAATTCAAATCGAGACCGTTGAGAAAGGATTTTGATATACGAAGAAATGCACGGAACACTTTCAGTAACATTGCCGGCGTTATATACATTCTGTATATGAAACGAGGGTCTTCGTCTTCATCCACGTCTTCGATTCGACGCGACAATTCCGTCAATTCATCATCTTTGCTCTGAACCGGTGCCACTTTCCATGTGTCAATGGGTAGCAGAGTAATCAATTCATCCGACGATTTTGTGTCATTTCGATTGTCAACGAACGCTTTGTACGCATCCTCACTACGGTTGAATGTGATATACGCTTCGTGTACGTCTGGTTTTGCTTTCGCGTTCGCACCATTTACATTTTCCACTGAATCGATTTTACCAAACCTTTCAAACGCCTTGCAAATTGATGCGTTGATACGACTGGTGTCTTCACTCTGAAACCAAAAAAATACATTTAGGTTATGTGCCATTGGATTTGCAATCAAATACTTGAAATTGCATCGACTTTTTTTTTAAACATCAAACACAAACACACTTACGTTCTTCAGCCAGCGTACGAACAACTTCCGAATTACCAAGTAGTTTTCCTTGTCATAATCACTATTCACATTGACCAATTGCCACCGTCGATCGTTCCACACAAAAAGATTCATTTTATTTCGCCACGACTAAGGAAGCCACAAATGTGGACAATGTGATTATCTGTAATCAGAAAATATGTATCCCATTAGATGATGCAATTGTAAGCTAAATTGTTTTTTCTACTTTGAAATTTCACCCAATAACCTCAAATTCTATTGTCTGACTCCGTCAATCTCAATGACTGAAACGTACAAATTGAAATGAAGTGTTGAGCTCAACTATACGCGAACGCCAAAGCCAACCAAATGAATATTCGAATCGGTTTGTATCGGTAGAGACAATTTTGTAAACACTTGAATGAGTGAACATTCCGAATCAAATCCAAACAAATGCTGTACCTTTTGAGTGTGTGTTAGTGAAACTCACATCGCCGACGCTTCGTCGTCCCGATTCCAGAAGAAATGTTGACGATCACCGCCAAATAAACAAATTTCTCTATCTCGCTTGAACACAGCTCCAAATGATACGCGTGACTTTTTTTATATGTTTTACCACAAACAAATGAAAAAATGAAATGAACAAAAATTGCGCTCCGATTCGATATGAATAGCTATAACTAAAATACTGTCACTTGAATATGTATTCGTCTCGCAAAAATGTTGTGTTCTAAGCCAAATATTACACACGATCGTTCGTATTTTTTTTAACTTTTCGTTCGTAGATAGATTCTGAATTGTTCAACCACTGTCGACAAAACGTTCACTCTGAATTGTGACTGTTGCATTCATCATTCGATCACTCAAGAGAAAGAGACACAACGGCGTGTTGCAATGAACGTGCGGCTGTCAAAATGCGATTTTTTCGATGTTATTGTGTATATCCGTTGGCACAAACACAATCGCATCAATCGGCCGCTACGAAACATAGCGTAAAGTCTGTGTGTGTTGATTATTATATTGACTTGAGCATTGGGGCGCTGTATTTTGGCACTTGTCAATGTGACATTTTTTGGTTTGTTTTGTTTCAACCGAACCGCGTGCATCAATCACATTTCGCTCAATTATTTGATAGAGTCAGCGGGGCATGATTTTTTCCTCTTAAAAATCCAAAATAAAAAGAAGAAATGCCATAACATCATTGTTTGCATTATAGTGAGGCAGTTAGTTGTACGATCAGAAAGTGTCCTGTTGTGTGTACTCAATTCTTCATTTTCATCGAAGGTTAGTATTTTCATATTGAGGTTAGTTTAACATCCGTGAGATTGAGTTCATCGGTTTAGGGCCGAATGAAAAATTGATCAATGATGAAAAGTCTGCGACCTGAAACAAGCAAATATTTTGTGATTACATTGCTTTTGATCTGATTGAAAAAAAAAATCATTTTTCAAGTGACCTTTTCTAAAAAAAAATCTACACATTGAATAATCGATCAACAAAATTTCTCTTTCGATTCAAGGCACTGTTTTCATTGACCGGCTCAATGGAAAACTTGTGGAAGAAAGAATCGAATCGTCCCAAAATTTACGTGAATCCTTTCAAAGGAATCGATGAAGAGTATGTGGAACAAGTTTTTGATTGGCTGCGCCAGCCCAATAGACGCAGATTGAGACATAAAATTGTTAGCCAGCCCATTCCACATGACAGACAGTTGCGCAAGCGAAAACTGACCGCTCCAATTGAAGTTCCGCACAAACAGCGAAAAGTTGCTCCGAAGCATGGAAATGAACGAAAGGGTTTCAATCGCAAAGCGCCACCGGCATTTTCACCGAAGCTCAGCTTTGCTCGACATAATCAATTCCCTGACATAGCAAAAGTTCTCGACGTCAAACACGATGCAAAATTCGGCCGGCATTTCATTGCAAACCGCAATATTGATGTTGGAGAGATTATTGCTGTGGGCAGACCTTTTGCTGAAGCGGTCGTTTGCTATTCATCGTCCAAAAAGTTCTATTGCCTCACTTGCAAAAAGATCGGCACCGATTTCATTGGCTGTGACAATTGTGCGGATGTAAAATTTTGCAGTAAAAAATGTCGATCGTTGAATCATGCTCATCAACTCGAATGCAATTCCATCTATCATCGCATCGAAAGCCTTGAAATTAAGTTAGCAATTCAAATGGTTCTGAATGCAATCCAGGGTTTTTCTAACGCTGACGATCTGATCCGTTATTTTGAAAAGTTGCTTGCGAACAATTCATTATGCCAAAATGGATTGATACTAAGCTTAACGAAATCCTCACGCGAAGACAACATCTTGCGAGCGTACAAAGCGTATCAGTGCCTGATGAACATGAAGAGCATCAACAATTTGTTCAACTCGGAGCGAACAAAGCGTTTTCTAGCGCATCTAGTGCTGCACTACTTGGCAATCATTCCAACAAATGTCTGGGACAGTGAGCTCAATGACGAGAAGAACTTCGGTATGAATTAGAAATTTATTCAAATTCAAAGTTTTCACTACTTTTGCATGATTTTCAATTGTGTTCATTGGATTTCTATTACTGATTTCATACGCTTTCTCTCATTTTGTCCTATCTAACACTTCATCACTTGCTTTTTCTTCCGTGTTTCCCTCCCCAGCAATGCGATACATCTACGGAGCTATGTCTTTGTTTAATCACAATTGTGCACCGAACGCTTTTTACTCGATCAAAGACAACTATGGATATTGCCTGACAGTTCGGCCAATTAAAAAAGGTGAGCAAATTTTCGTCAACTACTTGGGAGATCGAGTAGAGGAGTCGAAGGCCAATCGTCAAAGTTACATCAAACGAGAATGGGGCTTCGTGTGCGATTGTGAACGGTGTAAGCCGAAGTCGCGTCGATTTGATACAAGGGAAATGGTAGAAGATCCATCATGGGAGTACATCAACAGCCACTTCGAAGACTACCTATTCCCATTGGGCTCGAATCCTCGTAATCGTCTGAGAGACGAATGCGCCAATTTTCTGCGAAGGCATGGCAATAATTGGACCAAAACTCTGGACAACGTCATCAAACTGTTCATTTTGGCCATCACACATGAGAAACGATGAATAGGATGCAGGAAAAGAAAGAAAGAAATTGAAATTGTGTAACGGTTTTTTGGAAACTTGCAACTTTTTCGGATTTTGTGATCGCTTTCAATTTTTTCTTTCTGAATTCTCTCGAGAAATGGCAAATTCCTATAGAAAATGAATAAATGAAGCCGCTTTCGTTGAATATTTCAGAATTCAAAGAAAACATTGAGAGTCAATGAATGACTGCCTGATATTGTGTTAACAACAGTTCAAATATATTAGTATTTATTTTTGTTGGTTCTTCCCGAAAAACAATCTTTTTATTTGTCTACTTTTTCAAAATTTTATTCTATTCTCGATCTAAGATATTTCTTAACAGCTATCAAGTTGAAACATTCAATTGATCAAAATGGCAAATGAAATTCGGTAAATATATCAACAAAAGGTAACATGAAACATCTTATACATATTCGTCTGGATCTGTTCGTTGTCTAAGCATTACTGACATGTACGTATGTGTAATGGTCGTCTTCTGGAAGCACTTGAAATTCCGCCATACTCGGGTAAAACTTTTTCGTTTCTTCGAACATGTCAATGACTTCATCCTCCAACGATGCATCTTTCGATTTGATGGGATTGTTCGTGTTGACAACCAGCACCAATGCCGGTTGATCCTTTGGAATTGATACATCATCGAGATATTCACCAAAGCTCAGGCTTCGTTCTGTGTCTGGAGCGCAGAAGCAGCCATTGTGATGTGTCACCGGGAAATCGGCCAAACGTTCAAATGCCTCGTCGTCATCGATATTTGACTCATAGTTTTGAATGAGTACAACCAAATCCAGTGCATGGAATCGTTGTGTGCACATTGAAATCAAATAAAGTTCACCTTTACGCACCGTCCAAGTGGTGAGCACAATGGTTGACAATTGCTTCAGTTCACCGAGTGAGTCGAGCATGCTGGCCGATTCACTGCAATCCGAACGGGTGATGGTCAATGAACGCAGATTCGACAAATGTTTCGTGATGCTCTTCACTATTGTCACGTCAACAATCGGCTCAAGCTCCAACACTTCCAACTGTGGATTTAGTTCAATGAATCGCTGAAATCGTTTGCCATTTTCCGTTACGCTGCCAATGTTCAGTTGAACATATTTCAACACGAAGTGAGTCAATTTTGGAAATGCTTTGATGTCAGTCCAAGTGTTGCCACGCCATTTGAAGCCAGAAAAGTACAATTTGTTCAAATTGGAACAGGTCTCTTGCAACGCATACAGGATCTGACTGTTTGAGTATGTTTCGATGTACAACACTTGTAGTCGCTTGAGCAATGGCTCCAGCCAATGTAACATTTCCATGGAAATGTGATCTTTTCCCCGAATCGTCAGTGCTTGAAACTTTTTGGCTCCGAGTTTGGCAATCGTTTTTGAAACACGTTTCTCAAACTCTGATTTGTCGATGTGCAATATCGGATTTTCTTCTTCTGATTCTTCGTCATCGGATTCGAGGCCATAATCCAAAATCAAATGCTTCTGATACGATTTGACGCTGAAGATGCGTGAACGGATTTGCTTTAGGCTCAAGCCAAGGCTAAAGTCGATTTCAAACTGCTCGTCACCATTTTCACAGCACAGATTCTTTTGGCACAATGACATTTCACGCAAATCCTCTGTCATGCTGTTGATTCCTGGTTTGTCATCGCCCTCATCACATGTATCCATCTGTTCGTCAGATTCGCCGTCAGTTTGTTGCCATGTATCGGCCGGCATCACGCTGAGCAAATGCTCCGATATAAACATTTCGTTATGACTGGCCACCAACACGTTGAATGCACATTCACTGTGGACAAATGAAACGAGTGCCGCGTAAATACCATCGGATAATTCGTCATTCACCCGGTACACTGAATCAATTTCACCAAACGATTGAAGCACCTCTCGAATGGAATCGTGAACGTTCTGATGCCCTGGCTGCAAATTCAAATTGAATAATTGAGCAATGAATCTCTTTTAAACAACATCATTTCGTTTCGTAAATGCTAATATTTATTTTACTTACATCGGTGAGCCATCGAACAATGAGCTTCTTGGCAACAACATAGTCCTCGGTATCGTAATCCATATTTTCCTCTACGAGCTTCCAATTGCGATCATTCCACAGGAACAACTTCATCTTGACTCAACAGATTTTGACACTCTTTCAAATCTAGACAAAAAATGCTATCAAATTGTTATTTTGTTGAAACGAATTTGATTTCCGTTAAAATGATTGATAAAGAAAATCAAATCCAAAAGCTATTCACACGTAGTTCTGTGAATGAATTTCATTGTGTGTGCCGTTTGCAAGTGACGATTTTCTCTGTTTCAATCTCGTTCATACGATTTGTGAGAATACATGGTTATGCATCGAGTGACAGGAAAGGGCCATGTTTTCGAATAATGTAAACAAGAGATTAGTTGTGTTTGTGTTGCAGGATTTTGTGAGTAAAATGTGTGTGTGTGTGTGTGTGTGTGTGTGTGAGTGCGAACAAATACACGATTCGTGGAGATGTTTTCGTACTAAATACTTCTAAAAATGTGATTCACACAACAATAGACTCGATTTTTATATGCCCGAACAAGCGAAATTCTGATTTTTTCGATTTTTAAATAAACCGCACGATTTTAAATCTGTCGTGTTTCTCATAGCACCGTGTGAATGCCATCTTCGGTAAAAAAATTTAAATTTTCATTACTTTGACAGAACAAAGCCTTTGACATAAGCCAAGCACATCAATCGAGTATTTGGTAATGGACGACGCTTCGAATGCCACTTCTACAAGAAGTTGTGTACTAAACATGAATTTAGTTTGAAGATTAGTCCGTTTGAATGTAGACTATGCTCTAAGAGATTCTCACGGAAGGCAAATCTAATTCCAAACGTCACACAAATCCTCGTCCAGGAAAATTCAATGTAAGCTTTGTGCACGAAGATTCACTGAAGAGGCCGAAAAGAAGCAGCTTGAGTCGAACTTTAAACATCGGTGCTACGAAAGTTACCTGTGTAAAACCCATGCGACATATTATAAATCAAACATAATGTCACACATGCGGGTTCATAACACAGGTAAAATGCCGTTCCAGTATAATAATGTATGGGTTAAAACGTCACCAGAAAGCGATTCACAAGTAATGGCTCAGAATGTGACACAATTTAATCGGGTTGGAAACCTATTTTGTTTTTGAAAGTTTTGCATTAAGTTCATCAACTTGGAAAGTTGATAAGATATGAGTTTGAATTGCTAAAAATTACTGTTCACATTTAAACCAATTTCATTTGATTGTTACAATAATTTCATCATAGCCAGAGCTAGAGTTTGTATTCTCACCAAGAAATACATGAACATGATTTGTACGAAAACAACTTGAATAAAATAATGACTTCATGTCACATATTGAAAGAGAATGCCTTTATTATTTTGATTTATACGCAATTTTGCTACAAATTCTGAGTTAATGTCATGAAAAAAGTCAATAAAATATCTAAGTTTTGCTTTATTTTGATGTGGATGTAAGTTTATATCGAACTTTTAGAAACGGATGCATCGAAACGGTCACTGTGACAATTGTTATGTACTGCAAATGTTGATAAACTTGCAATGGTCGCCTGTGTCCATCTTAATCGCTTGGATCTTGTTGGGGTAAAATTGCATTGTTCTCTTGAACGTATCAATGATAGCGGTCGCCTGCAAGACGCTGCCAACTAAACTGTCTGCATCCTTGACATTGACGATTGCAACCAGCACTGCTTTGTCCTGTGGAAGCTTTACTTCTGCGTCATTGAAACCAAATTCAACAACTCGATCGGATGGATGACATTCGCAATTTTCGTGATACTTCACCGAACAATCCAAATGTTTCTTCAATTCGTCTTGATGGGTCGATGTCGGGTTGAAATTTTGAAGCAATGTCACCGTCTTCAAGTGTTTCATCTGTTTCAATCGCTGGGTACAGCGCACCATAGCACCCAGTTCATTTTTAACCGTCAATATAGTTATGGTTATCTGGGATAAATTCGTCAAACCAGGCAAAATATCCAAAATAGGATAGACGTCGTTGTACGTTGCGCAAATGAATGACAAACTTTCCAGACTTTTTAGGTTCTTTGCAATGGCTTTGCATAAGCGATAGTCGACAAGCAGCTCAATTTGCACCGAGCACAAGTGTTGGTTGACTTCAAAGAAACGGCAAAGTTTTGCAGCATCAGCATCGTTTTCCATCTTCAGATCACCCTTCAAAACCAAACGTGAGAGTGACGGCCAATGTTTTGGAACTTGGTAGTAACAATCGCCATCCCAGGAATTTGCTTCCACAAGTAAGAAATCCACGTTTGGGCAATAAGCAGGCAGCGCATACATAACAGAAGCATTTGATTCCGCTTGAAAAGTAAACGTTTCCAATGGCCATAGCAATGGTGCCAAATCATGCAACATCTTGAGTGAAATAGCGTTCACTCCGAGAATGGTCATTTCATCGTATTTATCACCGATGCAAGTGCTTAGCACTTGACTCACCCGTCTGAAGTATTCATCGTTAGAAATCGCATTCTCGTACTTTTCATCGGGTTCCATGCTGTAGTGAAGAACCAAGCACTGAAGACGAGCTTTCATTGGACGACCCATTTCACGAATGGTTTTCAGCTTCATCCAAGATCGTTGATCGATTTCAACATGAAATGTAGCTGCTGCAAATTCACAGAAACACTCGGAATCATTCAGCGACACTTTGACCAGATCACACAGCACAACATCATCTCTCGTCCAATTTGGATCATGGCATCGATGCGCAGTGTCATGCAGAAACTTGATATCTTCAGGACGAGTGAGTTGAACAGTGGGTTGACGCCAGCTATCGGCTGGAAGCACCTTGATCGCATTCGAATCATGTCGATTTGCTATGAAAGCGTTGTATGCATCTTCACTTTGCGCAAATGTCACATATGCCTCGTAGATGTCTGGTGTATTGATTGAACTTGCACCGGCTGATTGCATATATTTGTTTGACGCTTCAACCGATTCAATTTTACCAAATACCATGAAGTGCTGACGAATCTCATTCTCTGCCACCTCTGCGCCATTCTAATAGAGAGCAAACCAAATATTTGTTTCGAATCAAATCTTTTTCATTTGTAATGAAATTACTTACTTTCTTTTCCCATTGAACAAATAATTTCCGAACGATGACAAATTCACATTTGTCATACCATTTCGACTGATCAACAAGCTTCCAGCTGTAGTCGTTCCAAATGAACAGCTTCATTTTGATGTAACCGATTTGTACGGAAAGTTTCAAGAAATATAAGAGCAGTGAACAATAACTTTTAGTATGCGATATTCTGCCTTCTGTGACTATCTTGAACGACGCGAGTTTGACGTATGATATTGCGCCAAAAATGACAAGAGTCACTCGGTTTGAATGTCACAAAAAAGAATGTAGAAATTGTTTGTTTTGCTTATGTAGTTGTATGAAATATAAATTCAAACACAATGATCAGGCGAATATTCGAAAAGAAGAATTTAGATAAATAAAGCCAGTGCCTTTGTTTATAGTAGCCCAAGTCCGTGTGAGATTCTGAATAATTGACTACTTTTGTTGATATACAGCAAATTGCGTCGCAAACTGAAATGTTAAAAAACAACACCATTCATGCCACTGCATATTTTCATAATACTTTTTTATTTCGAATTGACAAAGAAATACAGAGAAAAGCCATTCGTCTCATTTTTGTTTTATTCATCAGCTTCAGAAAATGATAGAAAAACTAGAGATTGAGACACATTAATTAGCTACAAAGAAAATATTGAATGTTTCATATCTGCTCTATTGATACGGTTTCTATATATGTGGATAATACACTTTAAGTGCAATTTTCTTTGCATATCAAGTTATTTCTTATTTTATTGACCAAAAAAAACGAAAGGAATGAAAATGAAGTTGAAAAAACCATCAATCTATCGCTGAAAAACCAAATGGTGAGAAAATCAAATCAAGTAATGAATTGAAGTGATGCTTTTGGCTGATGACCTTTTGATGATGTTTTTCGATTCAACATCATGCGTGGCTGATATGAAAAGACAGATAGTTGTCGGTGCCGTCCACCAATCGTTTGTCAATGACATGTGGATAGAACTGTTTCGTACCCTCGATGCCTATGGAAACCTTCTGCATCAATTCCATGTCAGCTGAATCGAAATAGTTCTTTGTGTTGACGCACACCACCAGTACCGGTCGACTTTTCGGTAACTTCACCATTGCCTTTTTATCCATTGCCATCTCATCATCCACATCGCAAATTTCCAAAACACGTTCTGATTCATGGCAAGAGCACCCATGGTGATGTGTCACCGCACATGAAAAAATGCGCTTATACTCTTCTTCTTGAACCGTGTCGGGTTCGAGATTTTGAAACAAAGTAATCAATTTGAGTTGCTCCATTTCACGGAATCGTTCGGCGCATGTAGCCATTGCCTTCAGGCCATCTTTTTCTACTAACAATATGCTTATTTTGACTTCAGTGAGATGTTTCATTTGAGTCAATTGATCCAAGATCAATTCGATGTCATCGTACGTTTCGCGCACAAATTCTAGGAGCATTAAGTTGGGCAGTTGTTCGGAAATCTTGGTGAATGTGCCATTATCGACGATCGTATCAAGTTCAAGTTGATCCAGCTGTGGATTCAATTCGATAAATCGTTGGAATTTGACACCAGTTTCCGTGTCGCTGGCGATTTTGACGTTTCCCGCAATCATCAATTCGGAAATACTCGGCCAATTTTTAACCTCTGAATCCAAACACTCGCCGTCCCAAGACAGAGATAAAAGCTCCAAACTTCTTAAATTTGGACAGTATTCCGGCAACGCATATAACACTGAAGCATTGGATTCGGTCTGCAATGTGAGTGATTCCAATCGCTGAAGCATGAGCGCCATGTTGTCTAGTAGCTCGATCGAAATCTTCTTTGCATCCCAAATGGTCAGCTCATTGAATTGTTCACCAATGCATGTGCAAAGAATCTGAACGGCTCGTTTGATGGATTCATCATCCGTAAGACAATTCACGTGTGTATCATTCGGCTCGATATCGAAGATGATTTTGAAGTGGCTGATACGGTTTTTGATTGGTCGGAAACTCTCGATAATACTCTTCAAGCCCATTGGTTGGCGCAAGTGAACAGTCGGCACCACTTCACCACATTCACCGAAGTCTTTCATGACATCATAAAAATTGAATTTTTCTTTGGAGCACGGATTTGAATCGTTGATTGCTTTGATTGTCTCAAACGGAACCACATCAACACCCGGTTGACGCCATGTGTCAGCAGGAAGCACTTTGATTGCTTTTGAATCACGTCGATTTGCCAGGAAACCATTGTATGCATGTTCACTGTCGACAAATGTCACATACGCCTCGTGAATGTCTGCTGCGTTGATCGCATTTGCATCAATCGATTCTTCGTTGACTGTGTGAACCGACTCAACCGTGCCATAAGACTCGAAGTGCTGACGAATCAAATCATTGCAAACTACAGCATTGCCCTATTGCAAATAACATGAGAACATTATTGAGAATAGTATTTTTTTCTTCTCAATTTGGATCTGTTTATCAATTACGCAAAATTAAAACAAATGACTTTTGAATGACATACCTCTTTTGGCCACTGCACAAACAATTTACGAACAATGTAAAAGTTTTCTTTGTCATAGTCATCTGAAGCTTCAATCAATCTCCACTCGTAGTCATTCCAAATGAACAATTTCATGATCGCAGTGTTTTTTGAAAGTGCTTTTAGAATGTAAACGAAAAATTGCTGGCGAATGATTAACTTAGAAATTCAAAGTGAAGGAACGTCTGAGCTGAGCGTTGAATAAATTGTATTTGATTCGTTCTGTGTTTGCAAAGAGAGGAGTATTGATGCGAACAGCTAGCGACGCTTTCTACTCTGTGGATTCAAAGGGTACTCTGTTGCTTTGTTTTAGTGTGAGTGTCTGTGACATTGCGGTTTTGGTTAGGACAACAGCGGAATTTGAATTTTGTGACAGCAAAGGAATGATTTCGTGCAATTGGTTCGTTTGTGTTTGTGTGTATGCATTGGAGGGAAAATCAGAATCGTATCATTAGCATTGACAAATGAAATTCATGAGACTTGCACTGAACAATTAGACGAAATAAATTGAAAATGAATATTTCCGTAGACACAACATTGAGTTTGATACACTTTGAACATGCGATGCAAGATGATTCTTCAAGCAAAAATGAACGATAAGCAGTATTTTTTATAGCATAAAGTAATTATGTAACGAAATTCAATTCGTTTTGTTTATTTCTGTTTCAATTACATCAAATTTGATTCGAAAAGTCTCGAACAATGTTGAATTGTGAAGGAAAAAATGAAGATTTGTAATAATCTTTCAAAATACGTCATTATGAATGGTTTGTGATTTTCACATAGGCTCTGCCGATGTGAACATACACGGTGTGATCGCCTCTGTTCACCACGTCCAATCGAATGAATTCCGGGAACGATGGTTTCGTCTCATCCAGCATGTTCAAAATATCATGTTGCAACATTTTATCTTGCGATTTGTCTGGGCGGTTAGTATTAATGATAATGACCAAAACCGGCAAATCTTCGGGCACCTCGATGTCAGCTATTAGGTCATCAAAGTTCAAGAAACGTTGTTCGGGATGGCATCCACAGTTTCGATGCTCCGTAATGGGGAACTTGCTCAACTTGGTGAAATTCTCTTTGCGTTCGGTGTTTGGCAAATAGTTTTGTATCAATGTGACCAGTTTAATGTTCTTCATTTGGCCGAGACGTACAGCAGCGATGGCAATCTTTTCCAATTCTTCCGTTTCGGCTTCATCAAAAGTTATGGTAATCGATTCCAATGATTCGGCTTTCGTTAGATAATCAAGCAGCAAACTGGATCGGTAATAGCTCGATCGACGGAATGACAACTGTGTGATGTTCACTAAACTTTTGACGATTCCCTTGAGCAGCTCGATGTCGATGGTTGTGTCAAATGTAAGCGTTTCCAATTGTGGATTGAGCCCAATGAAATGACGGAATTTTTCACCATCTTCCGTATGACTTTTGACATCAAGACGTTGATGTGTGAGTGTCAAATATTTTAACGATGACCATTCTTTAGCCGGCTGGTCTTGTACATCACCGTCCCAGTCGCCAACTAATCGTAACATTCGCAGGTGTGGACAAAGTGTCGGCAATGCGTAGAGCAAGTGGGCGTTCAATGGATTCTTCACGATGAGTGAGATCAATGGTTCCAGTAGAGGTGCCATCGAATGCAGCATTTCCATGGAAATTGAACGCTTGCTCACAATTTCCATGGCTTGGAGACATTCACCAACACAGTTGTTGGCTATGACTTGAACCAACCGTTTTTCATATTCTTCAATGGTCAGACGGCTTTGGTTGAAACTTGATTCGCTTGATTCCGATGAGAATTTGAGATGAATGTATTCGAGGTCGTTTTTGAGACTTCGAGCCAACATTAGCCAGGTTTTCAGCGAAAAATCAGCATCCATATCGACCAAAAGCTTCTTTTCCAATTGGATCGGTGGCTCATTCGTCATCAACAAGTGCGAAAACACTTTGTTTTCTACCACGCTGCCATCCTCCGTCTTGATGTAGACGCAGAGAGAATTTAAATCGTCTCTGCTTTGGTCATTCGCGTTTTGAAGCCAGGAATCTGCTGGCAAAACCGTAGCTACTTCGATGGGAAATTGTCCATGTATTCGATGCGCGATGAATGCTTGATAGGCACAATTGCTCTGAAAATAAGTTACGTATGCTTCGGACAGTTCAATTTCCACTTCGCTTTCACATTCAGCTGGATGATTCAGCATTTCTACCGCTTTGATTTCACCATATTTCGCGAATTCTGCACGAATCAATTCTTTCATGTCCACTGTGTCACACTGTAAAACATATATTTCGGATTAGAAACATCTAGTGAAACTTGAGTCATGACATTTTGCCATTCACTTTGACAAAAACTCACCCCATTCTCCCATCGTACAAACAGTTTGCGCACAACGACATAATCGCCTGTTACCGAATTCGATCGAGCATCTATCAGCTGCCAATCACGATCATTCCATATGAAAAAACTCATTCTGTTGATGGTCCACTTATCCTTAGACAATTGTTTGTTAATTAATTATCCCCTTTTTTATTCGTTTGCTAACGAGAAATGTCAACCAATTGTGAAATTCCGACTGAAGCCTATTGCAGAATGTTATGTCAGTGTGAACGCATTCACGATTGTGTTTGCAAGTAAACAACGAAACACAGACCACTTGTGTTGCGACACAAAATATGCAATGCGGCAACACTTTTTTTCGCTTATTCGTCTTGCAGTGAAAGTGGTGCCTGTTGAAAATCCTTTGCTTGAAATTGAATCGAATCGAAAATTCAAATTTACCTTCTTTCTGAAAACCATGAACAAATTTGCGTTCTCTGTTAGAATTTGTGATAGATATCAATAAAAACAAAGACAATATTCGCAAAGATTGGCTTTTTGTGATGACTCAAAGCTCATTTTTGATGGAAAAAGCGATGAAAAGATGTTTATTGAAATACAGTTACCTGTTGATGATTACTAGAACTGAGTCGAAATTTAAGAAATGCATAAAAAACACCATGTTTCCTTTGTAAAGTTTTACAGAATTCAAAATTTTATTCTTTCTCAAGATTTTATTGATTTATGATTTATTTTCAGTTTTCTTACTTTTTCAATATGTTTTCTTTCTGTTTCTAATCAAATTTTTATTTATCTTTGATCAGACGAAAGTTATGTTTGGAATGCTCATTTCTTTCAACTTAATTTCACGAACGATAAATCTAACGAACCGAGGAATTGTGAAATTGTCCTACTTCATAAAATTCAATGCATATTTAGCAAATTAGGCATCTAAAGGTTTACATCGAGCAAGGGTCGATCCAATGGGGAGGGAGATCCAATTAAGGGAGAATCCAATGACGATGATGATGATGCAATTGTCGCAATAAATATGAAATGAAATTGAAATCAAATTCGTAACTGAATGAACTTAAATCTAATTTTAATTGAACTGGAATCGAAGTGATAGTTTTATGGTTTTTAGCTCAATCCTGGTGTGAATCAAAGCATACTGGCGACATAAAGAAACACAGATCGATCATCCTCTTGGATGATGGTTGTTTTGTGAACGTTTGGATAGAACATCTTAGTTTCGGCGAACAGGGTGGAAATGCGTGCGTCCAGTGTATCGTCAGCAATCTTCAGTTCTCGTGCGACACCAATGAGAATGGCCAATGTGCGTTTGTCCTTCGGCACACTGATGGAATCGGTTCGATCAGCAAAAGTTAAAACTTGACTGTATCGGTCATGGCAGACGCAATTGTAATGATGAGTAATGGGAAAATAATCCAGGAAAATCGGGTCAGTATTGTTTGGCGTAAAATTTTGCTGTAAAGTTGCCATTTTCAATCGTTTCATTTTACTGAAGCGTTCGACGCAGGCAAAAAGTGATCCAAAATGGCATGTTTTGAAGATGTTTGTAGTAATTCTGATTGACTCCAAATGTTCCAATCGACCTAAATGATTGTACACATCAACGTCCCCGAAGGCAGCTTGATTGAAAGCCAGAGTCTTGAGCTCTCGAATGCTGTCCGCAATCACCTTCAGCAATGAGTTGTCGACCGCCAATACGAAATTCACATCCAATGTACGGAGTTGTGGATTCAGCGAAAGGAAACGACACAATCGCATGCTATTCTGAGTGTCAATTTCTGCATTGAATTTATCACTGCACAGTACCAGTTCAGTTAGCGTAGGCCACGATTGAATTGGTGTATCGTCTCCATCATCTTGCGGTATTTCAGAAAGCATTTCGAATGTCACCAAATTTGGACAAAATGTGTGCAACAAAAACAGTACGTTGAAACCATCCGTGTAGATAGCCAGTGCGTTCAGTGGTTGTAATGCTGGTGCCAGACATTTGAGCATATTTTCAGTAATCTGCCCGAACCCACCGATGGTCATCTCTTCAAGTTTTGGACCGGTCGCCGCAATCATGCCGATGACTTCCAATACTCGACGATGAAAATTGCATTCGTCAACACAATCCGCATCTGCGTCACTGCCGAAACCATCGCAAAGTGTCAGTTTCAAATGATTAGCCTTCGGCATAAGGCAAAGTAAATTGCGGCGCATTTCGGCCAATGTGACGCCTGGTTTCAATTCCAATTCGAACTCAATCACTGTCTGATCGCACAGCATTTCATCGCCTCGCAATGACAATTCTTCAAAAGAACATGCCATGTCAGCTATCGCATTGTCGCATTTGTGAGTGCTTCTGATGTAGCCCATTAACTGTACACTGTCTTTGTAGTCTGGTTGATGCCATGTGTCAGCAGGTACCAAATATATGAGATTTCCCCGAACAAAGCGACTCATTACCGTCTTGTAAGCGTCTAAACTTTGTTTGAATGTCACATACGCCTCATGTGCTACTCCCTCCTCATTCACGTTCATTCCGATTTGCGGCGATGCCTTTTGCTTCAGTATTTCAAAACTTTCCACATCACCATAATCTCCGAACGCATCGCGAATTTCCTCTGTTGCATCCGCTGTGTACACCTGCAAATACAAAGGAAAGAAAATCGTTTCGAAATTATTTCGATTGTGCTTTAGTTGCAGTATACATCGTTCAAATACAAGCAAGCACATAGAGAGAGAATATGCATTATTATGCAATGTGATCAAGTAATTGGAAATATTTTTGATAATTTTTCAACCGAAATTCGAAAAAAACAGGTTGAAAAATGAAGTGAAAATTGAGATTGATATTTTGTCAAAAAAAAATCTCCTTATCTTGAATGCACACACATGATCTAATTGGAATCGAGAATAAAATACTCACATTGTATCGCACAAACAGTTTTCGGACAACGGTGAAAATTTTCTCGTCGTATTTTTCACCTTCTTCGATCAATCGATAATTGCGATCGTCCCAAATAAATGGCTGCATTTTTCTTTCGTTTTGAATGACTAACAAATCGACTGAACACGGCAAACGATAGGCTTGGATTGAAATACAATGTGAGAAAGCGCAAAATGCAACACTGCTTGCGATGCGATTTCAATACTGTGTGTGTGATGTCACCGCTCTGTGTTGAGATTACGAATTTACAGATCAACACAAAATGCTTCAAAAAACGCAGCACACAATCGAGAGAGTGTTTTTTCCATTGTGTGCAGTTAGTCGGTGAACATGACTTTTCATGGACGCTACAAGAGAATGTGTGCCACACAATCGAATCTTATATGTTCATGTTCCTGTTCTGCGTAGACATAACGGGTTGACACTCGATGTGATTCGAAATTGTGTAGTCAGCACCACAAACCGATTGTTTATACACAAAGTTGTAAACAAAAAAAGTCACTTCGGTACAGTTTGAACCGAGAATGTAGTCTGGTCGAATGAATTTAAACACGATTCGTACGTCGACAAATTGATGATTTTTTTCCTTCAAAATACTGTATGTTTGTATGCGTATAAAATTGATCACAAGGATGACATCTCGAAAAAACTGAATTTTCTTAATTTTTTACCACACACGAAAAAAGAAATATGCGAATAAAAATCAATAACCAACCATAAGATGAATGATTGAACATGTCTGCGACCACACACACAAAAAGTTGCGATGCATATCGCTCGAATGTTTGCATAGCGAATATCTCATGTACAAAATAATAAAATAATATGAACGGTACGAATGATGAATGCATTTGACTAAAATAGACGATAAAATGTGAACTGAGCAAGTATTTGGATGAAAAACCCTTTCTTGTTAACACATGTTTCCGCCTGAAGTAGAAAAAAAAATGAAGTAGAAAAAACCAAACGAAGAAAAATGGTAGTTCTTGAAGCAACGTAAATGGGACAAAACAGCATCGCTCTAGCGTTAAGAGTCGACGAAATGATTTCGAGCAGAAAAGAAAGGAGTGTGCAGAAAAAAGTGAAATTCTATTGCTTGATTTACAGTCATGCGAGAATTATTGCGACTTTCGGATGAAATGTAATGCGAATGGAAAAAAATGGTTTCCGTTGGTGAATCCGTCGAATTCATCGTTCCATTAGATGAGTACATTTATGTCACTTCCTGTTATGTCAATGCGATCGAATTATCGCTTGTTTCAGCCATCGCACAGGTGTTCATTGGGCGAAAGGGAATCGCACGTGAGGGAAGGCGAACAATAGTCGATGTGGAAAGTAGCTTTCACCGGCATTTTTTTCTCGTTTTGATGAAGATAAATCGAACAACCAAAATGGAAACGATTTTAATATTGTAAACATGAGTATTATAGAACATTTCATGCAAGAAGATTTGCGCATACAAGCGTTCGAAACTCGCGTTCCTCCTCTTCGTTTACGTTTTTTTCCCTCTATTTCCCTTGAATGGAAATTGCGTGAACAAGGCGAATAATTCAAGCGTTCGTTTTTTGCCACATTTGATTTTAATATTAGATACGAGCGATTTTGCTCTCACTAGCGATTTTTGCCTTGAGTTGTCAATCAATTTCCGGTGGCGGCTGTGTCTCTGTGTGTTTGTATACTGCGCCTCAGTCTGCACTGCGTCGTGTGCAAACATTTCTATACCGTCGCAACAAAGCGAAAAAAACACCGTTCATTACAACAGCATAAATTGATAAATATATAAATATCGTATCGGTTGCTAAGCAATATTCAATTTAAGCTATCTAACTCGTCACATCGGCTTTTAGACTTTCACCACAGTAACTCTCTATCAGGCTGTTTTTTTTTTCTTTTTCATCATCTGAGATCGGCTCTCGGCTTATGCTTTCATTTGCAATTTATTATGAATGGGGAGTAAAAAATGATAGATGAGAGCCACCGCCGTTGACTATGAAAATAAACAGGTAAGTTTCGGTTTTGTTGTCGTTGCCGTTGTCACAGACGTCACATCGACACTCTATCAATACTAATGTTATACAATAGAAAAACGAAGACGATGACGCCGATCTCGTTGTCGAACAATTCAAGAGCCAACAAATAAATAGGCGCACCTGGAAAATGCAGAATAAATGTTTGATGCAAATGAAAACGATCCGAAATAAATAACAACAAAACGTCAATTCCACAATTCATCGAATCCCCGTAGTGAACGATAGGCAAAAAGAAATCTATGTCGTCGATATCTTTTTTTCTCTTTTCCTTTTTTCTTTTGATTCTTCTTTTTTTATCTGGAATTGATTCGTCGGCTTTGGATTTTATTTTGTGTTGTGTTTTCGAACCGAAAAGGTGCTGTGAGAGAGATAGATAGAGCGAAACAGAGAGAGAAAGACTGGATTCATCTTTGTTTGGGTAGAAATTTTTCACAAAACTTCGCCGCTTATTACTTCCCATTAGTTTGGAGCAGAGAGTCAGTGACTTCAGAGAAGGACTGTCTTTCGATCGAATAAAAAATTAAACCCAAAAGAAGGACAAAAAAAGACAACGTTAACAAAAGAAGATACATCGAACTCGCAGCAAAGACATCCAAACATGGTTTTTTTTTCATTAATTAATACAGTTCTTCAGTCAAAATTCTTTGGAAAAAATGCGCTACCGATTCACAAAAAAATTGTCTGCGAATCAACTTTTTTCTTTTGCATCATAATTGCTTTGCTTCATTAGTTTGAGCGAAAAAGTCTGCCAAAAAAAAACTTTAAATCTGTTTCATTTTTTCCATTCAACATTTAATTCAATCGAAATCAAAAAGAGACTTTAAAAAACAACTCTGACATAACTGTAGAATTGCCAGCGACAAGTTGATAAAAAAGTAAATCGATTGACAGAAATCGAAATCCAATCAAATGTCGACAAATATCAATTTCAAAACTTCATGTTCATTTCCGTTACGCAGAAACGTCGTTTTGTCTTTGTTAATTATTCCGAATGTCGAATGGGAAAGTAACGAGTGTCGAAGTAACGAGAAAAAAAACATCCAGGAGTATTAATTTATGAAATTCAGCAAAAATGAAATCGGGTAAAACGAAGCGGCAAAACTTCTGTAAACTTATTAAGATTCATTGGTCATTTTTGTATCGTAGAATTTTCCGAATTCAACAGCAGCACGTAGTGAGGTAATTTATAAAAGTGGTCTGATGCTATTGCAGTGATTGAGAATGGCGTAACAGAGAAAAAAATCCAAAGCAAAAGAAAAAAAAAAATGAAAACTATACAAAGCATAGAGTAAACTTTTCAGACTTTAGCCCCGTTGTACATTCCACTGACAGGAACTTCGGCATTGAAAATCGGGCTTTTGTACAGTACACACAAAACCGCAAAATCCTTTCGGCTGCTATTGACTCATGGGGCCCGGTGAAAGAAGGATTGCCATGGTTTACACAAAAATACTTTGTATTCCGTTGCATAATAGCTTTAGCTATTTTTCTTTGTTTCACAATGAAAACTAGGCGATAAAATGAAAACAGCAGAGAGAGATAAAAAAAAAACCTGCCTCGCTTGCCGCTAGTGAATGGGGAAATTTGTGCCGACATTCGCACAACTTACACTTCAAAAACAAGCGTACTTTTACACCGGCAACAACTTAATCACAACAACAATCGCAACCGTTCGTTCAATTTCTTTACCTTTTTTTCCGCTGCTTTCTCTCCCTCTCTCTCTCTCTCTCTCTCGTTGGCTCTGTGTTTCATGGAAACAAAACACTAAATAAATATGATTTTGAAGCCATAATTAATAGGAAACTTTGAAATAATCCGTTTAATTTTTACAAACACGCAGCTCAAAGCTAACATTCTTGAAAAACTTCTGTGCTCTATTTATTTTGTATCAGATTCATGGGCTTTTTTTCTCTCATTTTTTTCCCTGTCTTTCATTCTCCTTCTCTCACTATTTAGCTCCCACTCGCTTTTCTCTCTCTCTCCACTCTTTGCACTCTCTGAGCCTTGAGCTTTGAGGTTTGCTGTGCATCATGTACGAACGACCGAAATATTTTACGTATTTTGCTTCTGTTTCGGTGCGGTAGTTTGTCGGCTACAAACGCAGAGCTTGTCATCACTGTTCATTCGGAAAGTATTTACCAAAATATCGTCGTTGTAGCAGACGCATTGTATTTTTGGCTTCAGCCAACCGACACACAGACGACAACGAGGACAAACTGTAATTTCGTACAACGGAAGGCAAACGAAGGAAATTACAATCAAGTGCACGGAAATGCCAACCAAAAATAAAGTCCTTTGATTTGTTCATCGTCGTTGTCGTCCCCCTTCGCTCGCTCATTTTTTATCAGCACTCATTTATCATCTGTTGTTGAGACTTTTCGAGAAAGTTAATTAAAACGTAATTGTTTTATGGATTACTTAAAACGGAATGAAATGTAAGTCGCCACCATTGCCACTGCCACCGATATACCACCACTACCGCTGCCGCCACACCACCTTATCCAGCTAACTAATTGTGTAATTTCAAATTTGTCTCCGCCTTCGTCGCCGCTGCTGCGTTCGTAGATTTGTTTCATTTGTGTCTGCAGCGCATGAGTTATCGATTTCATGGCAACTAACTTAAGCTTCGACAGTTCGTTCCTCTCAATTGCAATTCAATCAACCAATTTAATTGCTCACTTTTACAATGAACCGATTTGCTTTGTGCTCGCACTCGCGCGTGCTCACGCACAAATCAACTTTTTAAAATTCCAAATCCTTTTCAGTTCTCCTCCGCTCTGGATGAAGTTTTAATTCAGTTATAGAAACAGCAAAGTGGCGCTAAACCAATTTAAAGAAGATAAAAAAGTCTAAAAACGGAGATAAAAAAATATAAATGCTTCTTTATCAATGAAATTTATGAACAACTTATGCAAACAAGCGTCGATCAAGTTTTTGTTCACATTTAATTCTTTTATTCTATCTTGCTTTAGATTTCAATTAGAAGCCAGTCCAAAGTCCATTCTTTCGAAGTATGCGTGAAATCAATAACAGAAATAAAAGCATGAACAGGAGAAATATTGGAAATTGGAGCAATGCCATCAAAAAGTATGATGAAAGGGAAAGCCGGTAATAAATTCTCATGAAACGTGTGCAACTGGCGACCGACACCAAGTGACACCAAAATGAATGCCGTTGTGAACATGTTGGATAACATTTGATAAATTATATACACGTCGTCTGAGCTTTGGCTGGAGCCTAAAATTACTGGCTCTTTGTTTAGCTCCGCATTGTTTTGATTTTTTTTCACTGTGTGTCGTTTTTGATTCAGCATTGATTTCACTGCCTGAAATTTTCAATGAAAAAATGCCACAAATCGCATTATCAATGCACCCTTCACGTCTCTTTGCCGTATTCATTTATATGCATGGAAATAAATTTGGAAAATTTTCTATCAAAAAGGAGAGAGAAAAAACTCGGCACACGCTCGTTTATCATACGGCATATCGATTCCGTTGAACCCGATTCTCGTTTCAACAAGTTCGTTTATGTTAGTTGAGGTCACTCAATCATCATCGATATGGCACGGCCACAGTACGACCCAAGCAATTTTGATGCACATCATCGAACCTCTCTTGAATAGCTACATTTACACATTCACATAATACACACCCATACCACCCTTCGTCCGCCACAAAACGCACTTCTAGCTTCCACTCTGGCCACTACACAATGGACCATTCGTTGCATGCGAAAATCTATGTGATAAAAAAACAACGTATCGATGCCAAGAACTGGAGTACTTGGGTACAATGCGAGCCACGCACCATCGCACACTGTTGCGTTGTATAACGGAATATGATATTTTATGAGTTCATGACAGACATCAGAACCCTTATGAATTAAATATGAAGCTAATGTATACGTGCTAAAAATGTTGGATCGAACCAAAATTTGGAATATATATATAAAAAACAACAGCGACGAAGACGACTACGGACAAAAACGGAGCACAACTCATACAAAAAAAAAAATTCAAAATCCTGCACTGAAAGGGTTGAACGAAATAAAAATTCATACAAGGGGAATTTATTGATTTAATTTTTATGACTTCCATCATTTGAAATCGTAGCATTTTTGACAAAAAGCATCGCTTATTTTTTGGTACAGAAAAATGGAAAGGTCAAAATTAAAGGTAGTTGATCGTTTGAATTGAGCATAAAAAGGACAAACCATCACAAAAAAATCAAATGGATAGTAGATTTGTTCAAGATTGTCGTTTTAATTGTTTCTGTAAATTTCAAAGAGTTCTTTACATTCATTAGACATGCTTGCATTTAAAATTATGGGAACATGATTCTTGCATTTCTTATGAATAAAAAAGTGTAAATAATTTTCATTCCAATTTCGTTTTGATACAGAAGAAATATTTTATTTAAGTGAATTTTCAATTATATTCTACGATAGTTGTGTTAGCAAAACTGTACTTTTAGCAATTTTTCTACAAATATTGAATTCGAAGCAAATTCTTGTCTGGCAAAAGATTGAAAAAAGACGTTTGTTTGTATCGACGTTTCGAAATGAACTGATTTAAATTATACTTTCGAAAATAGATGTTCATTCTCTTCTTTTAGATGGAACATCATATAAACACATATTAGGAAACAATATCTGCCAATGTTTGATGTTTGGATACACAATTGTGAATTGAATTGTGCCTATAAGGAAAAAAATCCTTTGCGGAAAATACCTTCTTAATTTTTATGAGCTGTCGTCAGTAATGCCAGATTATAGCCATTCTCTAGAGTCTAGACTCATTACGAGATTAAAAAATGATCCACTCAATGTTTATTTGTGTTAAAATTTGCATTATGTCCTTTTTGTTTGAACTCTCAACGTTTGTTAGGCCTTACAGTTAGATGGTTGTAATGTTAAGAAAATTCTCCTTTTCATGGTATGAAATTATCAGAAATCAAATTGTCCGGTGTACATGATCAGGATGATGTTCAATTGTTTTCGACGAGATTTGTATTACGACAGAAAAACTGCTCAGTCGCTGCAATCAAGCTACTTACATTTCAGACATTCATATCAAGTCACGAGCTGTACATACTCTTTACCAATGGAAAATATTCCGAGAGTAGATTTGCCACCTAAAAAAGTCCTAAATTCTCAAAAAAATGCAGCAAACGATTCATGGATTTCAATAAAAACCGTCCACAAATCTTCATTCCTAATCAACATTTTTTATATAAATAATTTCTTCATGTACAAAGTTTTTATTGTGTGTAATTAAAAAAAAAAACAGTCATTGTTTGCGATGTTCAGTAGGGTGATTTCAAGAGAAATTTCGTATGTAATAGCACAAAGTAATTGCTGAGTAGCATTCCCAAGTCTTCACACCACGTCGTGCGTCCATGTTCGTTGAGTAGTCGTATGCAGAGCTCGGTGACGGTTTTTCGCTTTTCCATGGTATAAAGAAGTGTTTCGGCGGAATTTTTCAGCAATGCACGTTGTTGATCGTCCAAAAATCGGTTTGGTTTAAGAGACTCGGTCACTTCCATGGCGCATCGTTCACATTTGCACTTGAAATGAAATTCGTGTTCGATAATTTTTTGTCGTTCAATGAATGGACTTTGGAATTTGGTTCCATGGTACGAGATGCAAATCTGTTCGCCGCTTTTGATTGGGCGGCACGTCGTCACAACTACAAGGCCGTCAATGGGCAACATTATTGCATTGGGTATACAGGAGTGATTAAAATAACCGCCAATTACCGGTGTGACTAGTTTATTGCGGAATTCAATGCCATTTGCGATGTTCCTCCGAATACTGATATGATGCCCGATTAAATGCATGAGGAAGCGTTGATGATGTTTGGTGGTAAATTGTTCGGCAATCGGCCGATGACCTATAAGCGCCTGATAAATTGACTGTATATTGGATTTCGTTGTGTTCGATGCGTCCGGATGGTTTTTGTCAAAATGCCTCAAATAAATGCTGTACTTCGATCGATCGTCCAACGAATCTTTTGGCAATTTCATTTGATCATCGGCAATCACCGTTTCCACAAAGTCTTTCAGCTCGTTGACACTCGAAAAAATATTGATGGCAACTATGATCGATCGTATAACCGGAAAAAAGTCTTCTTTAATCAACGATATCATTTTTGGCATTTGTAAACCGCACTCCAGTCGATGAATATCACAAATTTCACATGAATCAACGCAAAACAATGCCCGTGTGCATCGTTTACATGGCACCAAGTTAGTGTATGTGGAAAAGCATTTACTGCATCGTTGTTCGTTGCCAATTGACAGTGCGGTGAATGCTCGTTCCATTAGTACCGTTTTCCCAGCTTCAATATCAGCCGTTGCTATGACATGCAGACCCGACTCTTGATTCCGTTCAATTTGCAGCACCTCAGTTAGGCCGGGAAATTTTTTGTGTGTTTCAAAGCTTAATTGTGGCACAAATGATTCAGCCTGTTTGCCAAGATCGATGAGCCGTACACAGTCCGCTTGTCGTTGCTCCAATTCATCGATTTTAGCGTATTTGTACTGTTTTGACAGGTCAATATCCACTAAACACTCTTTGAACATTTTCATTTCGAAAAAGCATGTCGCCCGATTCACAAATCCATAGCTCAAACGTTCGTCACAATCGGCAAAACACAACGATCGACTATAAAAACTCAATGCATTTGACCACCTGCTCTCTTTTAGCTCAGCATCGCCTCTGTTGCTGAATTCGCGTGAAACACGATCACATTTCGTTTGTATATCGAGTAATTGTTCACGTTGACGTATCGTACACAAATTCGTATACAATGCACTTCGTTTATCCGATTCTTTGCTCCATAAAAATTTGTTCTCTTTCTTTTTCCACATCATTTTGAAGCGATTACTTATTGTTTTTTTCTTTGCTCTATCGGTACGTTTATTTTTCCGGTTTACACTTTGACTACAATCACGTGTAGAACTGTCAAACAATGCGAACGACACTGAGTCGAAATGTCAGTCAATTTTATGAACTATTGTGAATGCCACCGAAATCGTCTTGAGTCTGCGTTTGTAATAGTAGCTGAATAGCCGCTCACTTCATCCACATATGCGCACTCACACCAATACACATGCATACAGTGTAGCTCTGTCTGTCTTTTTCTTCTTTGTCAATGTATTTGTTGGCTCGTTTCAAAATCCAAAGCAAAACATTTTGCGTTTAGCGTGCTGCTGTTGGCCACATTTTTGTTGTATATCACTCAGTTTTACACGCAATTTGATTTCAACAAAACAAAACACCACGATTCTATATGTTTGCCAAATAAAACGGTCAATTGTTATATATATTGTTCAGCAACAAACAGTCAGTCGATTGATTTCAAGTGAATGCCTATGACAATTTCACCTTTGTTTTGCAAATGACAATCCGATCTCACACTATTCCACTGTTTCTTCGTTGGCGCACAGAATGGTTTGAAAACTATTTTTAGATTTTCGGATAAAATCGTGAATTTTATGGGCAAGTGTGTGAGGTTTGGCAACTTGATTTCAAAAAATACGACGTTTACACTGGCCATCGATGTTTATTAATTACACTCTCTAATGTGATAACAGAGTCGAGATTCTAGTAGGCTTAGCCTCTCTCTGTATGTCTACATGCCCATACACACACACGCACGCACAACGTATACAGGCACACGGCACATACACATTCTTATTGTTTCTTCATCTCTGCTTCGCATTCAAGTTTGGTACAGTTTGTTCTTCTCTACTTGGACGCATACACAGCAGCTCAATATGATGCGGTTTTGTGACCGGTGAGACACAATCGACTGTACGATCGAACGGGAAAAATATATTCACAATACACTGGTATCACATGGAGTGTCGTTACAACAACACATATGACTCATGATTTAAATGTCTGCTGTGAGGCCAGTATAACTGGTGCTATACAGGCTCTGCTTCACTAAATGATTTAGCAACAGAGAAATTTGCTCATGCAATCGTGTTTTTTTTTTGTTTTGTTTTTTTTTATTAAAATGATATGGATTGCCTTCGTTATCTGTATTACCTGTCAATATTCACAATGAATATGACACAGGTTTTAGTCAACAAGCTATTTAGACTTTTGGCATTTGCCAAGGAATTTTGAACATTACATTGCGGTGGTACGAAATTCGTTCAGCCAAAATTATTTGATCGACAATATCAATCATTCGGTGTTACATGACTCTCACTAGGTTTCATAATAATAAAAAAATCCATAATGAAAATGCATGGAGAATGCATTGTCGCTTCTATTCGAAGATATATTTAGCAAAAATGATTTGTTTCAAGCATTGCTTGTCAACTAATTCTGGAAAAAGCAAAATAAACTTCGGCGTCGGTCGTATGATGAGCATTTAATACGTGTTGCTGTTCAATTTTTGTTGAACGATTGGGACAACAAGCAAATCAAAAATGATATGATGTTTGGTACATTCGACACTCGATATTTACGTAATAGTTTTTCTATCGCATACTCGTCTATCCCCATATTCAATGCGTCTAGTGAGATGCTCTTGTTCATCGTCGTCATCGTCTTTCTTTCCACTCTCGATATGTCGAAGTGCAGAGTAATTTGATATGTATCAGCTAGCTGGTACCCAATTTTTGCCACACTTGAATGTGCTTCTCGCTCTAATAAGTACATAGATAAAATAGATTTGTCTACATCTTCACATTTGCCATTTTCGAAAACCGGCCAATACACTTTACTCCATATACAGGCGAAACAAGTGCAAATCAAAATCGAAGGTGAAGAGCAACAAAACTTTATTTGGCTTGCTGTCCGTTCCGATTTATACGTTTCATATTTGGATTGGAATATGTGTGTCCATTTAATGTGTCTTATTATATCGTACTCGGTGGCTAAATGTCCATAGAGAGACGAGTGACACAGTGTGAGAGTAGTGGGAGATTGAGACGGAGGAAAAGAGATGGGGATAAAAGCAAAGTAATTCAGTGAAAGAGCAAGCATGAGACAGGAAAATTGAGACACATAGAGATGAAGATATTTTCTAAGTGTCTACGCCAAAAATTGACATACTAAACGGAAGAGCGTTAGGAAATCATAAATAGAAATGACCAAACATAGCGCATATTTGCTAACGTAAAATATGTGCCTTCCGTTCGATGCATTTGAGCAGTTAATAGCTTTTATTGACGATGAAATCTGTCATGAGGTAGACAGCAGTTGATGCATCCATTTTATCATCATGCGAACATTTTTTTTTTTGGCAATCAATAAAATCGACAGACTTCATCTCAGACAGAGGCGATATTCTCTATCCATAGAATATTTTAGCCAAATTGAAAACCGTACTTAGGTTTCCAGCTTATCCCAAATTTAACGCCTGATATTTCTTGAGACAATGATGACAACATTTAGCGATATGTAATTGAAGTTTTTTCCAAGGCAAATATTCCATACAAATCATCATTAAGTAACATAGAACATTCATTGCCTTTTTCTCACTCACTCTTGACTCTCTTTTTTTCCTCAAAACAAACAAGCAATAAACAATTTGAAATATGTGTTTATCGTTTCTTCATTCATGAGAATTGAAACACTCGACATAGCTGAAGTCGTTTTAGCATACACTCATTTTGGACTGTTGAACTGAATAAATGTTTATTTTTAATTGAATTCACGGAGAAATGATGTCATTCGCTGCGAAAGTACCAAACACAAGCTGCAACATTGAACTTACAACAGTCAAAGTGAACACTAGAGCCGTGTTATTGCTTCGTTTAATTGTAACAGCCAATGAATATTTCGAATATGAGTGGAGCAATCGTATGAAGTATGGCCCTTTGGAAGAAAACACAATGAATGCTCTGTTTTTTCTTTCCTTCTTTTTTATTCGCAGCTTTTCTTCTTTGCCTGTTTTTTTTTTCTCTGTCGACTACGAGCCACTTCATTCGTCCGGTACACAAAGTATGATTTATTTAATCGAACGCAATTACCTCGCTGGAGGCGACGCACTAAATGTGGAAAAATTCCATTACCGAGACGAGAAACGAAGAAAATGTGGAAAATTAAAAGTCGAAAAAATGTGATTAAGTTCTGAAGAAATTTGTCTTGATGTTGCTTTTTCGTTTTCATCCGTACATTTTAATTGAGAAATTGTATTATCTTCATCAGCGTTGATTAAGGAAATACAAAAGGAAAATCTCCAGACTACAGAAGATTTTTTGCTTTCATTGTTCTTCACTTAATATCAATGGTTTGGGACACTGAAGAAAAAAAACGGTGTAAATTTATCAGTCGATCGAATCGCATAAAGCAAAAATGGCAACAGAATGTATAAATTCCATTCGATAAAATGGAAGATAAATGTCGGTAAAAATGACTAAATGCCACTCAACGTTATTTTCATTATTTTCATTTTTTTTCTCTCCATCGCAGCGGAAAGAAAAGAGCAATAATTCTAGGAGATTTTTCAATTTTCGCACCTGATGTTTGCCAGCGGATCGTTTGGTTTATGTGCATTTCATAGCCATTCACCGTTGTTCAAAACATAAAAGTCGATCGATTTTATTGTTTCTGTCCGTGTGCTGTGCACCTTGTGCAATGGCGCACAACTGGAAAGAAAAAGCTGAACGGTAAAATCAACAACAAATAATAATGATTCTACAATAGAGCGAAACAGCAAACGTAAAAACAGGAACAAACAAAAAAAACAAGCTCTGAAATTACAGGCCACTTTGTTGCACGGCAAAAGCAACGGCACACACAAGAACCAACAATCACCGGAAAAAGCGAATCAAATTTAACGGAAAATGTCATGCTGAGATGCAATTTCGAATTGTGGCTAAACATTTGCTTTGGCTGTACCACCGGCTCAGCACCACTACCACTGCTGCTGCTGCTTCTGCTGCTGTGAGACATGGCTTGGCGATGTTGTCGTCGTCGTTGACTTTTTCGTATTTAATCAATTGGTTTCAGCTCCAATAATTTTTCTGTAAATGCTCGTTTTGATGTGTTTGCCCAATATTACTTTAGATTTATTTATACGAATGGTCGTGATGTCGTTTCAGCCAATCCTTTTTGACTGGCACACGGTTGACGAGGTTCATTTCATTCCATTTTATATTTCGCAAATCTGATTTTTCTTCCATTTACTGGCAGCAGCAGCAGCAGCAGCAGCAGCAGCAACATCAACTCTTTCCATATACACACACACATTTTGCTTCATGGTTTATTCGGGTTGGTTTTTTTTTATATAGCTGCAATTTCTCTGGTGCTTTGCTTCCGTACCGTCTCATTTTATTATCGTACGTGATGCGACATAATAATGTGATCGTTATACACATAATGTGTATTTTTGTTGCGAGAGATGCCATTGTGTGCCGTCACAACGAAATACAACCACCACAAAATTGATGTGTGTGTGAGCGCTTCAGTGCAATGCAACACTGCCTGAGCTGGTTTGCCATTGACGAATTTTTCTTTCTGCCCGCCATACACGTATTTATTTCGCTTGGATTTTTCATTTTTTTTTTTTCGCCAACGTTGACAATATAAATCCATCTTGAAAGTGCACGACACACATTTTATGCGATGAATATAATAAAAATGATATTTGAGTCATAAGAAAATTATAATTCAATGTTTACGGGTTTGTTTGTTGTTTGATGTTGATGCTTTTAGGATATTTCCATTCGCGTCACAGTTAGTGCAGTATAAATAAGGCTAACCGATTTTTCTTACCCGGTTCACTCTCAGTATATCTGCAGTTGGTCTCTGTCTGCACCGCATGTTGAACTTTCAATGTGCATAAAATTCACGTATAATAATCATTTACTGCAGTGTCAAAGATCACGGTGAAAATCATCATGTTCTA